TTTATTTGTAGATATGTGTATTATAATAAAAAATAATATGTATTTAACATTTTTATTATACTTCATTAAAAAGGTTTAAATTTGTTTTTATTATACATTTTTATTATTTTAATGTTGTTTTAATTTGTGGGGGCCCACAACCATGTATTGACCCCTGGGCCCCTGAAGGTCTTAATCAGGGCATAATAATATTCACATAGTTTACACATAAACACTAATCATAATTTTCAAATTTGCCAAACGTTAACTTGTACAAAACTATGTTAAACGTTTCTCATTAGTATTGTATTTTACTTATGCGCTTATAGCACAAGAATGACGATTATCCATCTATACATTTAAAGACGACACAAATCGAATAGCAATATTATATAAATATAATATGGTTCTCCTACAGGCATATAAACAAATACATTTTGTATTCCCATTCGCCTCCCCCCTCCCTTGGTCGTATAATTATATGTGTATATTGTTATTTGTTTTTAATGTTTTTACAATTATTCTGAATTTTTTTTTTTCATGAAATAATTAATAATTTGATAATACGGTCGAATCTAAAGATATTAAAATATTGTGGTAATCTACTAGAAAATTAGTGTAGCAATGTATGATATCAATAAAAGATTTTTCTCTATGAAAAACCGGAGGTCAAACTTTGTCTCATAAATTTATAACATGCATTATAATTTATAATATAATATTTATTTACATAAAAATGTCTTATGTATCAAATTTCATAGGTACCTGGTGATTTTTTATCGTTAAAAACTCATTATCTCGGAAAGTATTGACTTTTTTTGACAAAACAAATTGAGAAACAATTTTACAATTTTGCATTTATGTTGTTTTTTATCGCCCTTATTTTTGGGGGTAAAACCACTACCTACATTTTATTTTCAAACGACAACCTATATTAAAAATTTCATAAATAGACGGTGTATTAGTTAAATAAATTTCGATGTTGAAATTTTTAATTCGGCTTTTATAAAATTGGGTCAGGGGAGAGTAGTGGAGCATCATTTGTATGGCGGCACCACCCACGACGTTTTAATAATGCACCACTACTCTCCTCCTACCCAAACTTAAAAGTGGAATATCTTGTCAACGGATTGACGGAAATTAAAAATGTCAACACCAAAATTTATTTTAATTAATGCTCCATCTGTTTAAAGTATTTTCAATACAGGTTTCCATTTTAAAATCAAAAGTATAGAGTCGTTTTAACCCTATAATAAGGGTGACAAAAAAAATGATAATGTAACATTTTAGAATTATTTGTTTCTTAAGTTTTCAAAAATAGTCATTACTTTTCAGAAAAAAAAGTTTTTAACAATAAAAGAATCATCCGGTATTTCACAAAGATAAAAGAGTTTGATTCCCGTGTCTATTAATAAAAAATTGTGTAACCATGACGTCACATTTCTAAGGAATTTTTTATTTTAAGAGTAGGTGAAAATATATTTCGCTCCCCCCCCCCTCGAGTTAGAAAGGCCTCTGCAATAATCAAATAACTAAAAAATTGATTAAATTAAAAATTCTAAACTAAGTGAGAAACAAATCGATTATACAAGATTTTTGATTTTTATTTTATAGTACCTATTGTTTTGTTACAATTAACCGACTGCAGTGCAATTTGGTACCCATTTATTTTCTTTGTATGGCTTTATCACTTTTTCATAAAAGGAGTACCTATGTAGTATGTGCCTACCTGCTACTTATTACTGTTACTTACGTGTCGCCATATCTAATTGTAGAAATTATTTTGGAATCGTATAAAATTAAAACAAATATTACTAAATACTGTGAAAACCGGAGAGACATGACACGAGTACCTGTTTTTAACTATTTGAGTAGATTTTCAATGTTGATTATTTTGTTATGATTCAGAAAATGATTACCAAATACCTACTTACAATTATAAATTACGAGTATGAATATATATATATTTTTTTACAATAATAATATAATTTTTTTTTAATATTTTAACTTGGTAAAATAATTATTTGCCTTATTCAAATTTATATGTATTATCTATACACAATTTAAACTTTATAATAATACGTTATTCTAATAATGCTAAAAAAATCATAAATATTTAAGGTTTAGGGCAGCGTTTCTCAACGTTTTTAATGTCGCAAACCTCAAAATAGGTAAACAAAATAAAGTCAGTCACACCACGACAACCGTCTTTATAATAAAAATAATTTAAACTTTTATCTATTTTACCTGTTACAAAATACCATTAATATTATTTCGAGTAGGTACCAATTAATAAGTCGGAAGCCCCATTGATGAATGGTTGTAGGTGCCAGCATCAACTATCAACGAGATACAAGAAATAATTTCCGTGTGTTATTGCGTTGCGACAATTATTATCATCATTATGTATTAATTTTTTAATTTTAATGTAAATTTAAGGTTGTTTTCCTTTCTATGTTAAATTATTTCTGACCGATATGACCGCAGGTTGAGAAACACTGGTTTAGGGAATTTCCTCAATCCTCCAACTTCACAACTTCTATAATATTGGTGGACTTGGTATGATTTAAGTGGACTTAACCGTCTAAATTATGTTTATACACTACCCTCAAAAAAAAAAAAAGTTTTTATAACGGTAAAGCTTTATAGTAAATAAAAATGTGCTTAACTTTATTTTAATATTATTAAGAATTTTTAGTTCTAATAATACCTATTAGTTAAAGAATAATATTTGTGAACGAAATAGTATTCATTTATTAAATACCAAACAGTACAAAGATAATTACCTACTCCATGTAAAGCTTGTAAAAATCTATGTAAATATTATAGGTAATATTTACTTATAGTTCAAGAGTTTGTTTGAATACAAAGCATATCAAAATAGAAATATAATCGCATTATAATATATCGTGTAGATTGTATAACCATTATGTCAAAAGCAAAAATGGATCGATCCTGTTTACCTCTACAAATAATATCTTATGTCGCACATTTCCTATGGTTCATTTTCCGCCAAAAACAAGGTAAGGTTGATTTCCGTACTCGATAATTATACCGTGCATAACAAGTACCCGCCCAAAGTCATCCGAATTCAGAATAAAGACCCGATCGTTGTCGGCGATTCCCCATGACACAGCCAACACACCATTTTGAAGCCCATTGATTCCCGAGCGTATAAAAGGACTCGGAGTTGTCTATTATAGGTAGGTACCAGGAAAACTGCCCATTCGACCAGCGACAAGCCTTTTAATGATTAACGGTCTTCAGAAACCTTTGCACACCCTACTTAAATTCACTTCAATACAATAGGGTAGATCCGCGGTAAATATTTACACATTTTTATTCTGAAACAACAAATAGATACTTATATAATATAAATATGTATATTAATTTTTAAATTTAAATACCTACAAATAATTGTATAATCCACAACAAGTTCCACAAATTAAGCTAGTTAAACCACAATCACCGAATTCTATTTTATTTAATTTACTAAACCCATTTATTATGTAAACGCAATGGTGTAGCTAAGGAGTCCGTGGGGGCCAACCCCCCTTCCCCGTTTGGCTGTATTTTTAATATTTTTATTATAATTGTTCCATGTTTATGTTACCTAATATTTATGGTGTACGTGGTAATTGGTTTATTAACGTTAATGGACAAACGTGTAATCTGGGGTTTCTTTGTATTTCGTTTCGCATTCAGAAATTCTGGCTACGCTACTGTGTTATTTTGAACTCATTTAATTGTGTTAAAAATGAATACCATTAGCCATCAATAGAATATTTGTATTACTTACCTACTTACTCTCAGGACTCTATTGGACAATTATTAATGTACCTAACTACAAATTACCTCCAACACCCCTTAAGTATAACGAAATTGTTTAACTATTAATTCAATTCAATGAAGCTCATCCAATAACCAATATTATTTGTACACTATTTCAGCTCAAAAACCTGGAAAATATAATACATGAACAGTATCACACAAATGTGTTGCTATGGTTTTAATTCTAGAGCATTTTAATTTGTATATACTTACCTGCAATATACATATATATATGTATGTAACGGTAAAAGTACGAATACCGGTTAAGCCTAGGATTTACCGGTAAAACCGAATGATTTTTGTAGTTCGGACAAACGAGATTTGGTAAATCTTAGGATAAACAAACAGTGTTAGTAAAAGTCCAAAATTGTTTACCAATTATGTTATTGATTATTAATAATTATTATTATTTGAGTATATTAGGGGTACTACATTAATGATTAGTATATTAGATACACGCTTTTACATTATCGTTATATATTATGACAACAAGTTTATATTATTATTACATATTACTGCAGTGTTAGACGTTAGTATATTATAGGTACTAGATACATTAGTTACTGGTTTATTATTTCTATTGTAATTAAATTAATTTTATTATTAAATTATTTATTTGTGCAGGCTTGGCTATTATGGCATCTCGAGTTGCACAACACATTTTTGGATTGGCACATCTGTTGACCATACATTTTTTCAAACAATTACACTTTATTAATGCTTGTCCACCAGTCAAAGACAGTTGCGATACTGCTTGTCGAATACCAATTTCATTATCTGGTATAATTGTCGATTCGAAAAAATTGTCTTCACATAATATAAACTGATTACGAGTGAACAATTGTGAGAGTGTTCCTTCTTTTGTACTCAGGCGATAAAATCAGTAACGATAGTCAATTTTTCTTCTCCGCCAATAATAACAATATCGAACCGTTTAAGTTGCCAATAGTGAATTGATTTTTTAACTTTGACCGATTTCGATTCTTTCACTTTGTTCAATAATACATCATATTTATCCCTAGTTATGTATAAAATGTTTTTATCATTTTTTATTCCGACATCATTTAAAAGTTCGTAAAACGGTATTTTAAGTGACGTATTGAAGATCATAAATTTTTCGCGACAATTATAAAATTAATACTGCAAATACTGTTGATTTTTCAATAGGCCTATTCAATCTATAATCATTCATCAAACCTGTTCCGTATCAAGGCCTTCAATTATCATGATTTATATCAAAGTCGAATAAATCGATATAAATCATGATAATTGAAGGCCTTGATACGGAACAGGTTTGATGAATGATTATAGATTGAATAGGCCTATTGAAAAATCAACAGTATTTGCAGTATTAATTTTACAGTCGAAATGAAAATTCCCAAAGTCGATCGCAGTATAATAATTCGTAATAATATTAATAAATATGTTTGCCGTAATATATAATAATATTATAAATTTGTCGTCTTAACTAATAATAATAATACATGAAAAAAATTATAAAGCAAGAGGGAAAAAACCTCATACTTGTAATTGGTAAACAATTTCAGACTTTTACTAACGCTGATTGTTCATCCTAAAGTTCACCAAATATCGTTTGTAAAAGTCCGAACTAACAACGAAAATCATTCGTGGTTTGACCAAACGATTTTGTGAATGTTTTACCGAAATCAATTGGTAAATGTCCGAAATTCGGACATTTGCCAACGGTAGTAGGCGAAACCTAAGATTTACCGGTAAATCCTAGGTTTAGCCTGTATTCGTATTTTTACCGTAACATATATCTAGGCATATTTGTTTGACTATATCTATACTGTATTATAATAATATAAAGAGAAAATATTTATTATTATGTTTGTAATGGATAAATTCAAAAACTACTTGACCGATTTTAAAACTTCTTTCAACTACCAAAAGCTACATTATGTAATGTTCTGGCTGGGTGGCCGTCGTTAACATAAATAACTCGTGGAGTTTTTGATAGAACAAAATAGTATCTTTTATTTTCATAAGCATACAATACTTAACAATCAGATATTAACTATAATATTTACAATTATTTAATAAATCGGATATAAACGCGTAAAAAATAACGGAAGTGCGATACAATATGATGGGGAATACAATATTAAGAAAGTGATGCCATTCACCAGGGTATTTTGACGGAAGGAAATATATTCAGTTGCCAGTGAGGACTCTGGGCCGTTGTCAGTAATGCCGAGAGGGCAAATGGCCATTGCCGGTAGTGACTATAAGTTTATTACTTATCGGTTAGGTGGCAGCAGGCCGTAGACGGAGGCTTGGATGGTTGTTGATGTTCGCGTGTGTCGGGGTCGGCGGACTACGAGCGTGTTACAGCCGGCCGGCTAGCGGGAGTACTACGGCGCGACGGTGTGATTCGGATTTGTTTGGGTACGCGTGCCGCGACCTAGTGGTATGCATCTGTGTCCGTTTATGAAATGCCGTCTACTGGCAGTGTATATAGTGGATAAAAAATGTGTTGCCTATGGCAAACAAATCAAGTTCTTATGGAACGTCTTTTGGAATGTTACAACTATCAGCGAGTAATATGGGCTGCATTTTGTTATCAAAAAAAAAAATTAAAGATCTTAACGAAAATTACAATAAATTGGTTTTTAGGTAATTTTGGTACGAATATCGGGATTCATAAACAAATTTTTTAATTATATATTTTTGTTTATGCATAGATTACCTTGGACAAGAAAACTATTATTATTAAAATTATAATTACTATTCTTTAAACTATTATCTAGTAATAACAAAGCATTTCCGGGTCAGCTAGTTAATAATTTTAAACAAGCATACACCGTTGCAAATAAATAATTTAAAAACAGAAATATTTGATCTTGCATTTGTTTTTTAAGCGTTTACCAAATAATTATTTTAAAAAACTAAAATACTCACGTTTTGTCAAATCTAACCAAAGTCAGTTATTTCATTATCTGTTACACTAACAAAATTATACTTTGCATTATGAAAATACTTCGAGAACTTTTATTTCTGTTCAACAAAGAGCTGATATACTGCTAATAGTTGTTCAACTGTTATAGGTGGAGAGTCAGGTATTATATCTATACCTACACGAAAATAAATCATTATTAACGGAAAATAATTTTGAGCACAATTCGATTAAACATATTTTGAAATGCCGTGATTTTTACAATTTTCGTTTAAATCTTAACTATTTAAACGCTTATAAAAACACAATTGTAACCACGGATATTCAATATTTGTATAGTGTCTTAAAAACAACTTATGGCACTATAAAATACCTCAAAAACGCCTAGAAAGTGCTAATGTATTCAGTGAAAATGTCAGATCTCTAACCAAAAGACAAAATCGAAAATAACAGAAGCCGTTATTGCAGCAAATGTCCAAATGTTTTAGCTATTATTATAAAAACTACAAAGAAAACGACCTAATCAATGCAACAATAAGAAAAAATGTTATACAAAAAAACTCTGATATCGTTTTTCGATTAAAGTAAGATTTTTGAAAAAAGGTTTAATCAAAAAAAAATGCACACATTTTAGTAAAACCCGTAGGCATTTTCAGAATTTCACTCAAAATTTAAAATATAACAATAATACAACTGTAATAATATATTTCTCGCATACATAGATACCTATCTAATTTAAAATCCATAAATCAATAATTTTCTATTATTATAGTAGTATTCGAATATTTTTTGCAAAGAAAACCATTAAATTAGAAATAACTAACATGTAATCGCATTAGTATTTATTCAGTATTTAAGTTATTAAACTTCGGTACCTAAACAAATATGTCCCTATTTTAATAATCGTTAGACCAATTATTTCCATGACTAATAAAAAATTAACATCATTCTAAAAGAAACTATTATCAAAAGTATTGTTAAAACGATATACCTATATAGAACTAAAATGTCGGAAAACTTTTTAAATAATTTAAATATACGTGTTATTTTGTTTCTTAGTATTTTTGCCAATGAAATCAAATATAACATAATCTGACTATAGATATCAGTAAAATTTAAAAAGTTTTAAAACAAATTCTAATTATTTTGAACAATAATAACTTTTGATCTGAAAAGAACTCAAAAAATTCAAGTTTATTATTAGACTAAAAGACAAAAATATATTTATGACATTATATTATATAATGTTTAGTATCTGCATATCTGATGTATAGTAATACATGGCTTCTAACCTATTTTCATAAGTTATTAAGTAATAAGCTAATTTCAAACAAAAATTGAACAAGTGCCTACACAAATACTTTATTAGTTTCTGTTTTCAGAAGGATTGGCTCATAAAATACTGGGTAATACAGCTAGTATATTTTTTTATAATAGTTATGATAAACGTTCTATTCAATATTAATGGCAGATGGTACTAAAAGTATTTGTAAGAATCAGAGACTGTAACCGGACAAAAAATCTGAGCATTAACGAATTATTAACTTAAAGTTAAATTAACTGAACTTTTTAACTTAAAAAAAATTTTTTTTTTAAAACTATTAACTTAATTGTTAATTTGAATAACACAAAATAATTACCTAACTTTTAATTGACTAGAGTTAATTTTATATTTAAACAAGTTAAGTTGATTTCAATTTGTATTTGTATGATCATATAAATAAATATATTATTATTATTGTTATCAACATAATATTATAAACATTTTCATGAAGAGTCCAGAATTTATAGTTAGAGGTAGTGAATGGCACTTACCTACACAAACTGAAAAGATATTGTCTAGAAGATATTATACATTAAATATTAATTTCTCCAAATAATTTACTACATATGCTAAAATGATCCAACTTAGCAAGAAACCTTTGGTGGCTGGGGAGGAGTTTATCAAAAGCTTTAACCAAATCAATGTACCATATATCAGCAAATGAGGAGTTGATCTTGAACCACCAATCTACAAGTGGTAGTAAATTACCAATGGTAAAATGTCCTTATGAAAACCATGTTAAGTAGAAGGCATGGCAAAATATATATATATATATATATATTATACGGATATTTAGCCATGGTAGAAGTTATGACACTGTTGTTGTTGAAAAAAGTAACAATAGCACTAAAAACTATGCACTCCACAGTTTTTTAACAAACTCAAGTTAAGCTTAATGGTCTACAATTACCCGAATCAAGTTTATAACTATCTAATTTATCTCAGATTACCTAATTGTCTTATAGAACTATGGAAGTTTTTGAGCATTTTCTTAACTATAAGGAAATACAAAATAAAAACAAATGTATATCATGACTACAACAATGAAAAACAATAAAATGAATAGACTTTCACTATTTAGAATACAGTAATATAATTTGATTTCCATATTTAAAGAAAACTACAAAACAGATAGATAATCCATTACTATTTAGTTAAAATCAATTAAATGTTAAATATTATTGTCTAGTATCTTTCTAAAAATGTTAATAAACAAAATGGAAACAGCTGTTTTACTGAATACAATGTTTTCTTAGTTAGAATAATTATTAAAAAAAACAATTAAATACACAATTGCTATTTCTAATTTTAATACACAAGTACCAGATTACACTATAATTAGTATTGCAATCTATTGAAAGTTTACATAATTAATCATCTGATAATACCTGATAATAAGTAACTTGGAATAAAATATTTTCTAATAAAATATGTTACTATATGAAAAATTGTATATTTCATTTTAGGATTTTTAGGATAATAACAATTAATTATAAAATTACAATGTCATAAACTAAACACTAATTAATGAAAAGAAAATCTAATGATAATAGTAAACAAATATTTTTTTTCACAAAATAATCATTTTAATATTAAATTTACAATACCTATTATGTAATTATTTAGAATCATATAATTCTTATAATACAATTCTTTCACATAACAATTTTATTATGAAATTAAAGAAAAAAACACTAGTACCTTATAATACATCATGTATCAACTGGCATCATAAGTATAATTTGAGCTCCACGGGAATTATTATTCAATCTAATGGCGACTGAGAAGAACTGAGTCCTGCAGTAAATTATTATTTTTAGATTTATATAATAGGTAGTATAAGTGTGGAAATTGTGTAATTATAAATACTACACACTAATATTTACTTATTGTAAATATCACAGTCAGTGCTGTAAATAGGTATATTATGTTAATGGGAGTGCAACCTAATTTTATGCGGCCCAAGTACCAAAAAGCCCTTAAAAACCCATTTATTATTCAGAAATAATATTATATAATAACCTAATATTTTTAATAACTATTTATCAATTAAAACATTTAAAAATATACAAAAAATAACAAATACAAAATCAAAATACACAAAAAAGTAAATAAACGAAACCGCAATAATTATAGGGGAATTGCTCTATTGAATGTGGCATACAAAGTTTTCTCAAGCTGTATTTTAACAAGAATAAAGGAAAAGGCAGAGCAGACAATTGGTAAGTATTAAGGTGGTTTTAAACTGGGGAAGTCAACAACGGACCAAATATTTATTATTAGACAACTATACCAAAAAACATGGGAATTTGATAAAGAGATGCATACGTTATTTGTTGATTTCAAAAAACATACGACAGTATTCATAGGGATAGTCTCATAAATATTTTGAAAGAGTTTGATTTCCCCCAGAAGTTGGTCAATCTAGTCTCAATCAGCATCATGGAACCGTGGTCAAAATAAAAGTCGTAAACATGAAGTCGGATCCAGTTACAGTGAAATCCGGCCTTAGACAGGGTGATTCCATCTTACCTATTCTCTTCAACCTGATTTTGAATAAAGTAATAAGAGAGATAAAAATTGAACCAAAGAAGGAATAAAACTCTGGAACTCAGCTAGTCCCTTATTGGCGATGACAATTACACACCGATGACATAGTGCTGATGGACAAATCTCAAGATGGAGTAAAACGGTTCTATGAAAGACTCAATGATGCAGCACAGAAAGTAGGACTACAAATTAATGAACAAAAAACTAAATGTATGGTTATAGAAAGATAAAATTGGATGGATTACATATTGAAGGTAGATCATTTTAAATTTAAGAAAGTTAATTCTCTCAAATATCTTGGCTCAATTGTTAGCGAAAAAAATGACATCACCAAAGAAGTAGCGGCGAGAATCCAAGCGGGAAACAAGACTTATTATGGTCTGGTGAAGCTATTAAGATCAAGGTCATTATCAAGACAGATAAAGAAACGTTTGCATACCAGCCTAATATGACCAGTGATATTGTACGGATCGGAAACCTGGGCACTAAGGAAATCAGATGAAAATAAGTTCTTAATACTAGAAAGGAAAATATTACGGAAGATCTTTGGTCCAATAAAAGATAACATCACAGGAGAGTGGAGAAGAAAGAAAAACAGATAGCTACAAAAAATGTTTAATAAAAATGACATAGCAGAGACAATCTAGAAAAGAAGGTTGCGACGGGCAGGACATGCAATGCGGAGCCAAAACTCTCTACTAAGAGAGTTTACACGGGCACAGTATATATAATACCATAAAGTTTTTAATCAATTATAAATTGGGTAATTTTTTTCTCAAAACTGTGTGAATATGTAGAATATGCATGAAATTCGCACAAAATAACAAATTACTATTTTTTTGAAATGTTCAAAATATGCAAAAATACTATTTAATATTTCACCTTTGAGACTTATGACTAATATTTATATCTTAGTTTGCTATGAAATAGAAGCTCAGAAAAAACATGCAAATCCTATAACTCTCTGCCCTAATCAAACTAATAAAACTGACAATAAACTTGTTATATTATATAATTATTATACTAATAATATTGACAACAAACGTGATGTTCTGTTACTCACATAAAAACTGTTATAAATAAATGCAAAAGGAGATTATTTTCCCAGTGCAATTAGTGACGGGTTAACTTCAAACGTAAAATATAAAAAAATAAGTGATCACATTTTTATACTAATATAATAAAAACTTGAGTATACTTTTAGTGTATTTGAAAGATCATTAAAATCATTTCAGTTTCGATTGACATATCTTTGATTTATAGGATTATCTGGCGATTTCATCCATTCTTTATTCATCAGTTGTTTCACTTGAGAAAGACGCATAGTTGGATTCTCAGCACGTAATCTTGGCAAATTGTCTGCTTCAAAAGCAGAATATGCTGCTTTTAGTCTTTTTTCAGGATTTTTGTCCAAAACACTTTGAGTAGAGCTGTAACAAAATTATAAATTTAGCAAAATTTGTCTAGTAAATCATTTTATCAGTGTTATATTTCAATAATGTTTGCAAAAAATAAACCATTTTTTTTTTTTTTAATGTTCTTACTAAAATAAATTAATGTAATGTTATTAGAAATGTTAAATATAAAAATTGTTTTGATTACACTACAAATTTATTTTTTTAGATTCTGAGTGGAACAAAGAATGTAATGGTTTTACAATGATGTTTATTTTTTTTTTTTATAGAACACTTTCTATCAGAAAACATACTATGATTATCAAGTATAGCACCTTTTTAAAATTAAATTTTCTCTGGGTGGTACTTTAGAGATGTCATTTTTGGAAATTCTCATTAAGATCTGAGATAATGAGGACAACTTCGGTATTTAGGTTAAAAATAAGGTTTTTATTGGCAACCCTTTTTATTTATTTTTTGTTAATTAAGTTTAAATTATTTTAATCTTTTTTAAACAATCATTGTTGTCATGGAAACACACATTGTTTTAATAATTTTACCATAATATGACATAATACTATTATATTGTATTGTTGACAAAGCAACATTATCAACTGAACTAGGCTCAAAATTGGTTTTTTGGTTAGCAATGATTTACCATTGCTTATAGATATACATTAAATTCACGTCTGTAGCCTACATTTCTAACTTCTCACCTACAACAATGGCTGCATCCACATATGAAGTATGTCCGTCCATTTTTATTTTATTCATTAGACCATATTATACTACTACTATAACTATCAAGAATATTTTTTTTTTTTTAAATTATCGTAAAATAACCATATTTTTGATATTAATATTAAAAAAAATAGGTAAATTTGATTGATAATGATTAACATATACATGCATATCATGAAAAGGAGGTGGCTACCTCAGTATACCAAAATAATATTTTTAAAAAATTCACTATACATGGAACTATCCAACGTAAATTTAATTTAATTTAATTGGTTACTTATTTATTTTCAATAATCACAATATTCTCAACAAATAAAATTTATTTACTTTAGCATATTAAGAGCTTCATCAACTGTCCGTGCCTCTTCATCATGCATAGTCAAACGATTAAGGTTTTCTTCAATTGTACTTTCATCATTTAAAATAGGTTGCGGCTTAGGATTTGATGGAGTTTCAAGATCTTTCTAAACATATTTAAATTGCATGAAATATATTTTTTTACAATTTTAAAATTACAATACCATAAGTTGATGTCTTGTAATTTTTTGGGTGATTGGTTTTGTTTTAATTTCCCCATATTCTGCTTCCAATAGTAATTGAGCTTCTCGTTTCTTTTCCATTTGATCAATCCTTTTCTTTTCTTTGTCTTCCTGATATTTTAAATAAATTAATAAACATGTAGATTTTACAGTAAATATTGTGAAATCAGTTAATGTTGTTATATTTATATATTAATATATTTATTGTCGTTAATTTTAATATTAAGAGTATATTGGCCTATTATTAAACTTAAAGGTTAGAATATTGTTTGTTTTGATATATTGGATTTTTTTTCGATATTTTAATTTTTAATGATTTTAAAATTATAATATTTTACATACTAGCGTAACTAGCTTTAAAATTAAACTATCAAAAAAAAAAACTAATGTACTAATGTAGACAATGTTCTTATTTTTAGATTTAATCATAGACAAATGCACCCTAACTAATAGCACACCATCAGTTATCATACATAAAAAAGTATAAATATAATAACATTAACCACTTTCATAACATTTATCATAACATAGACATATTTCATAACATCTCAGTACAAGTGAAACTTCTTTGTGAAAAAGGCAAAACGGTGTAAATAGTAGAATTAGACTTAACTTCTTACACTACAATTATCTTCTAACTGAAAATTTAAATTATATATTGTAAAATAATTTATATATAAACAATACCCTCTATGATACCTAACCAAACTCCATTTAAAAAATAATAACCTTTTTAGAAAAATAAACAATTTTTGCTTATAGTATTTTTTTTGTAAGTATCTGCCTAGGTAACATTATTAAATAATAACATTTATGTTGCCATCACCTAAATAAAATTTAAATATTCATATAAAAATACTTATGGAATATTTTAAAGTATATATGTTTGTAAATGTTATTGTATTAATAATTAGGAAAGCTAGTAAAAACATACCAAAGTTCAAAATAATGTAAGCTTAAAGTTGCATGAATATACTTAATTTGTATTTATTTCTAATTTAATATTAATGTTTGTAATTTTAGTAGACGGGTAATTAAATTAATCAATTTTATTTGTTAATTAGTAAAAATTACTATGATTAGTACCTTGTCAAAACCATTGAAAATTTAATAGTAGGTAATTTTAAAAAATCTGCTTTTTGTAGGTTTATCAATAAAACTTGCCTTTCTTTTTTGTTTTTTAACAACAGACTTGTCATCATCTCTCCACAATTCATCCTCAATTGCCTGTTTCTTTTTAGCATCTGCTTCTTGCTTAATTTGATCTCGTCTTGCTTTCGCTTCTAAAGCTTTAGAATTCATACCAACAAACTTTTTAGGCATATTGAATAGGTACACTAATAATCATAATGAAACACATAATAAGGTTATTTTAAATTATAATATTATTAGTAGGTACGAAAATACTTATCTTACATTTCAGAGATTTAATTCCTTATAACTAAAATTCTAATAGTTTAATTAATATAGGTAATATTTTACAAAAAATGTAAATACAAATAACACCTTATATTATTAAAGATTTACCACTTTCTTCTTGAGACAAGCAATAGATATTAATACAAATTAAATATTATACTACTTAATATTAAAATGGTAACATGAATCATTCACATTCATTAATTTTATTCATAAATCTTGTAGTCTGTAGATACAACTATATAAGATACCTATCAATTCAAATTAAAATACCTAATCATTTGTGTTCTTTGATCACAAACCCGGTTATAGATAGAATCGTAGAACTACGGACTTTAGTGATAAGATAACTCTACTTTGATAACCCTACCATAATAATACAATTATAAATTATTGCAATACCCTTTGAACTGATATGTGCATTGCCAGTTTCAAGTTTGTTACGTTTCCTATTTTGATTGGCATTGTATTTCCTGGTTTGGCTACAGACTAGTCTGAATTTCTTTAATTCTTTTTACAATAATACAATCTGATTACAAAAAATGATTTTGAGTAACATTTTAAGGAATTCTAAGAATATTGGCCCAAAGGTATGTACTTAGTTAATTCACTGTAAACTTAAACTAATTTAAAAACAAAATATTTTTTTTATTTTTTCATCATAAGGTCAATGGATGTAGGTTGCAAAGCACATTAATAATTGCTGAACATGACAATGAGAAACTTGCGACAGTTACACGTAATGCACTAACAGCAGCAAAAAAACTTGGTGGCGAAGTATCTGTACTTGTAGCCGGCACTAAAATCGGATCGGTACATATATTTAAATCATTTTCTTAAGCATTTAACATAATGTCTTATTAAACTTAAATCCAATAAATATACCTATATAGTATTTATTAGAAACATATATTAATTAGCCTTTACAAATCATTTCAGTAATTTCTTTTGTTATGTCAAGGTTAAATACATAATATTGTTCTAAGGTTATATAATAGGTCTTGAATAAAAAAAATGTAAAAATATTAAAAGCCACCTAATACAATTGCGTCCCGTCTAAACAATGTCATGCCAATTGAATTTTCGATTTTACCTTTTCAAGCCAAGATACGACTGGTTTAGAAGTGTATGCTCCCGAATTGAGTTTTATTCACAAATGCTGTCTGGTTCTCTGGGTCAAAACTAAACTTAAAAATATTGGAAAATGCTTAGACATTTTTTATTGACCTAATAAAACACTAAAAAGTCAGAGTTTTGATTTTTAACCCATTTAAACGAAATCACTTTTAGGTAGGTTATAAAAAAATTGTTAAAATCTCATATATTTTTCCGGTAAATTGGAAAATAAAAATTCTGACAGCAATAAAAGTTTGTACGGTAAGGAAGGGAAAGGGAAAATATAGATTGGTTTTTTTGATACTTTTACCCCATAACCAGATTTTCAGAGATCAACATTTTTTTAAGCCCACGAACACAGTTCTAAACCGGTCATAACTTAGTAAAAAAATCAAAAAATTAGCCAGTCAACTATGTATGTGTTTTACTTATCATAATTATTTTATTTACTTTTTTAAATTAATAGGTAGTAGAAGAAGTGACCAAAGTATCTGGTGTAGCTAAAGTACTAAAAATGGAAGGTGATGAATTTAAAGGATTTCTCCCAGAAGTTTTAGCTCCATTAGTATTAGCTACACAAAAAAGAATTAGTGCCACACATGTGTTAGCTGGCTCCAGTGCTCAAAGTAAATCTCTCTTGCCTCGAGTAGCTGCATTATTAGATGTCTCTCCAGTTACTGATGTAATTGACATCAAATCTCCTGATACATTTGTTCGAACAATTTATGCTGGTACATTTTTTTATATTACTTAAAATTTCTGTTCTAATGTATTACCATATTTGACTGTCATGCCGTATGCACTCTACCAATAATATAATATATTAATAATTTAGTTTATATTTTTAAATGCATATAATTAATGTTTATTTTGTTAAAAAATATATATATTTTTTTTTCCTTATCTCTTATAAATGCTGAAAACAAGAATTTAAGCTTTCCCACCATAGTTCGATAAGGTTTCTGTAAATTATTAAATAATTTAATAAACTAGAGTCCAAATAAAAGTATAAATAATTAAATTAAGATTTTTCAGAAGACAGCAGACTTGATAAGTTGGCCACCAGTAGAGAGCATATAGCATAATAACCCACCATTTTATTTTTTAAACATTTTAGATAGGTAGTTAGATACATATATTAGTACTCAATAAACTACAGTACATATTATTAAGTTAATTTTTTTGTTCATAAGGTAATGCTATTTTGACTTTAAAATCCCTGGATGCTGTAAAAGTCCTTACTGTACGAAGTACCAGTTTTGAAGCTGCTGCTGATGGTGGTTCTGGTACTATTGAAGATGCTGTACCGGCAGGTGGTTATGAAAAAGGAACTGGTTCTGAATGGATCAGTCAAGAATTAAGTAAAACTGATCGACCCGATTTAGCATCTGCAAAAATAGTTGTATCTGGAGGTTTTATAAATAAATTTCTGAAAAATATCCCATTATAAAAATATTTAATGTCTTCTTATTTTTTTAGGGCGAGGTGTCAAATCTGAAGAAAATTTCAAGATGATCTATGATCTTGCTGACAAAATGGGTGCTGGTGTTGGAGCTTCACGTGCAGCTGTTGATGCTGGTTTTGTTCCAAATGACATGCAAATTGGACAAACTGGGAAAATTGTTGCTCCAGTTAGTTATTATATTGTGCTAAAAAAATTACGGTTCCTATTAAAACAGAAATTATGTATAATTATAGGAATTATACTTAGCCATTGGTATTTCTGGTGCCATTCAACATTTAGCTGGCATGAAAGATTCAAAAACAATTGCGGCTATTAATAAGGATCCTGATGCACCAATTTTCCAAGTAGCAGATTATGGATTAGTTGCCGACTTATTCAAAGCTGTTCCTGAAATGATTGAAAAAATAAAATAATGGTTTTTGTTAAATTGTTAATTTTTTAAATTTTAAGTGTTTGTTACACTCATTATTCAAGGTGATGAGATAAATTAATTAAGTGTTCTATATACAGGAAACAAATTTATAATGTATAAATATTGAAAATTATAATTTGTTCATTATTTGTATATAAATATTTAAATATTTTTAAAATAGCTATTTTTTTGAAAAATAAAATATGTTTCTTACTGACGATATATTTTATATTTATTTCATTATTAGTTAGTCCAACACAGAATTAAAATGTATAAATTAATAAGTTTATTAATGATTTAAATACTTAAATCTTTGATAATTATAAAATAAGTTTTTTTAAGAAATAAGGGGCATTTGTTTTGGTCAGAGATGTAATAATGTAATTAAATATAATTTGATATTTAATAAAAAAGAAATGTAAGTAAGTTGTAGGTACATTTAATTGAAATTTTCTAAATTATTTGGTTAATACAACAGTTTAATTTTAAGTATGACACATAACTTGATATACAAAGGCGGTTTTTAAAATAAAAAAATCAATATATTATAATTATTTTAAAATTATTAATTTTAACTTTTAATCGCTATTTCAATAAATATGGTCTTGAAAACCAAAATACAATACAATATTAATGTATTTTAAATAACACAATGGCATTGGAGGTAGGTATTGAATACGATTTTGGTAAGTGTTGCCATCCTTTAAACAATTTTAGTATATAGGCATTGTTTTTCGTACAAAGTAATGGCTGATATCTTATAAAATTTAAAAAAATAATAAATAATCAAAATAAATACTATAACTTTTTTAAAAGTTGTTTAAGTAGGTACCTACTTTATAATCAAACTTGGAGATAGCAACTACTCAAAACATAAAAAAAAAAACAAAAATTTTTAAGTTAAATACATATACAGTATACATGGTGATTAGCATAATCTAACAGTCTAACACTCATTATCTCGAGATGTATGAACTGATTTACTTGTTTCAGAATTTTTTTTGGGGGGAAATGAAATTTAAGAACCCTTGAAGTTTAAAATATTACATTACTCTTATTTTTAAAGGAGAAACCACAAAACACTTTTTATTTTAAAATAATCTATAATAAAAAATTCATAAACATTTACAGGTTTGTGTTAAAATTTTTAATATCTGTCAATCAGTTTACAAAGTATTCCAGTTTTAAGAAGTAGGAGGCAATCTATTTATACATTTTTTACATAGATTGAAAATTTAGTTTCAAAATTAAAAGTGGGTAGTGAATTCACCCCTAAAATAAAGGTGACAAAAAATTACAGAAATTTAACACATTGCTCATGTTTCTTAAATGTTTTGAAAAACTAATTTTCAAACATTTCTTACTTTCCTTGATAATCAATGGCTTATGTTATGTTGATCACTCTTTAAAAACAAATAACTACAACTACTACCATTTACAACTTGGGCACCTATAATCAATTATGTAACATTCAAAAGCATTTAAGGTATGATTTTCTTTCAATTAGAAATATAATATAATGTAATACAAAATATTATTTTTTATATATATTTATTATAAAAAAAAATTAAAATGTTTCATGAACATGTAAATCATAAATAAAATAAATAATAAAACTCTTTATAAATATATTGTACAAGTATACATAATTATTAATCATACATCAATGAATTATTTTTTTAATCTAAGAATTCAAACTAATAATCATTTTTTTTTTTGAAAATTTGAGCAGTTTGAACAATCACTATTATGTATTCATAATAAATAATTAAACAAATTATATTTAAAAAAAAAACATAAACAAAAGACTAAAACAATAACAAAAACATGACAATATAAATATAAAATATAACTTAAATATTGTGTAAAAAAATGTTTTACAACAATTTCAATAACATAATCAATTATCAAATCTAGATTTATATTGACTGTATCATTAATGATATTTCAAATTATTTATCATTAATATATAATACTGATTGTATTAAATTAATGGACTTGGAGTAAATAAATCTGGGTCTTCATCCTTATTTCCTTCTTCAACATAAATTTCCAAATTTAAATGTTCATATTCTATACTACGTAATGGTACAACAGCAGGTGATGTTAAAACAATGTCTTTATTTTCACTAGGTATTAATGGCCATTTCTAAAAGTAAAAATATTATTAACTTATTATTTATTTTGACAATCCAGATGATTTTTTTTTTTTTTATTGTAATATGAATACAGACAATTTTTAGAAAGCATTAATTTAAAAAAAAAAAAAACAAATAATTAAATTTTCAAAATAAAAAGATAATAAAGTTGTCAATTTATTTAAAAAAAAAATGCTAAGTAGTGAAATATTTTTACTATTAAAAATATTATATGAATTTGTTATAATAAAGTTTAATATAAAATTTAAATAGCATTTAAAAACGTGCTAAATAATTAGAAAAACATTTTTTAAATTCAATAGTTTAGTTGTGCCACAAATGAACTAAAATTAATTTCTACATACATCTGTGTCCTTTTGAATTTCAATGGAACTTGTTTCAGTTGTGTGAATGTGAATTTTAAATGTACAACTGGGCGGCAAAGGATTCAAAAGAGAATCACAAACTGTTAATTTTAAACAAAAAGCTCTTAATGTTTGTTCTAATTTTACTAAATATGGGTCTCTTAAGTTCCTTAAGTTCAAGATAATAAACAAATGTATAATTATTTATTAAGCAGTTAACTAAAAAATTTGAATACATACAAAATATCAGATAAATCTAATTCAAGTTCAACATTATTTATTTTGAATACAAAACGTTCAACTGCAACTCCAAACTTGTTATAAAAACAAACATCTAACTTTTGTAATTTGTTTAATTTCAGTAAACTTTTAACAGAATTAAGTGTCCCATTTATATAAGAATTCAACTCTGGATATATAGAAACCTTAAATATTACAAATTATTAGTATTGTATTAAATTGATCCAATTAAAAAAAACAGTGCAAGAAACACGCCATTGAACAGCAAATCAATCCCAGATAAGGAGCGCAAGCAAGAACACTTGCCAAGTGATTACCACTGACCTCCCTTAGTTCTGTCTTTTGCACTGTTTCTAAATACTTTAAAAAAATTTCCAACAAAATTAAATAATTATTTTATAAGATTAGCACATTTTAAAACAGTAAAAACCAAAACTAAAATTCTTACGTGCACAGGAACATTGTACTTTTTCTTTAATTCAAAAATCCCTTCAGGATATATTTTCCTTGCATAGAGTATACAGTGAATAGATACTTCTAAAAGTTCTATGAGCACAGATGCACTATCTATAGCGAATTATAACAAAATATTCATATTTTAATTATGAATTATAATTAATTTTACAATACATTCTTTACTTTGAAAATATTAATACCTGTAATTTATAACAATAGGGTAGCCAAACAATTTTAAAAGAAGATTCAACAAGTTTAATTTGTTATAGTTTTAAACTATAACTATATAATATATTATTATATCCTATAGATAATATAAGTTATTAATGGTACATACTAAAATTAATAATTTATTATTATTGATTAGTTTAATAAAACATACCTACCCGAAAATTTGTCTTTACTCATTGCAATTGTTTTTCTCGATTATAAATAATTTCAGAAAAACCAAAAGAACATTGATTGTTTAAAGATAAAATATAGTATAATATTATTATGTTTATATTTTTTACCACCATATATTTTTGGTTTTTAAAAAAATGACTAAGTAGTTAAGTAAATTACTTATAATAAATTATTTTAATTTTAGATTATTATTAATAATCAAATAATCAGAATTACTTTATTTGTATTTATTTATCTATGGTTGGCAGTAATTTAAAATTGTCACAAATTATTATTATGTAAAATTGATAAACATTTTTTGTTTTCTGACCATTATCATCATTTATCAAATTTTTATCATTTTCGAAAAATTCCCTCCATAAGCACGATTAAATTTCTCATAGGAACAGCTTAACTAACTGAGTGCGCTCTCTGTCCATAAAAATAATTTTATATTACAGTATTTGAGGTACCATAAATTGTTTGAATTTCCAATATTTCAAACAACTTTTTTTGAATCTGTTGAATATAGATTCAAGATTCAAGGAATCCAATTTAATCGTTTCAAAATGTTTAAAAATATCAAGGTAGATATCAATCTCAAAGGTTCCCAATGTTGTATATTATGTTGTCTATTCAACTCCTTTGATTGTTCTGCTGTCTGCCAAAAATAAATAAATAAATCAATAAAGTGAGGTAACTGTCGTTTATTGCAGGTAGTTAAGAACCATTTATTTTACTGTTATAAACCGTTTTTTTTATCGCCTGGTTTATATTTTCAAGTTCAAAATAATATCGATTCAAATTTCAAAATAATGTCAATTCAAAGATTCTTAATTTCAAATAATTATTGTACATTCAAAACCACATTTTTCAAAGTTTACTTGCATCCCTATATTATATCGCTATCGCATTTCACAAAATATGTTTGTGAATGTGAAATATTACAAAATAATATTGTACATAAATATTCTGCGGTTTACGAGCGCTACAGAAATGTCTTATCATCGAGTAATTATGTAGACCGCAATTCTATAGCCCGTTGGGCAACTAGTATTGAGTACATCTTAAATCGTGGTTATAAGTGTTTGCACAAATATTTTTATATATACGTCTATAATAAGGTTTATGGCAGTTTGCCCATTCCGTCTTCAAATTTTTTGTTTGGACACACCTTGACGATATGACTGATCGTTTGATCAGCTCAGCATGGTCGTTATAAGATTGTTCTATTCTCCATTTGCAAAGTAGATCTTTGCATCTGCCTTGTTCAATTTAAAATTGACAACAGAATCCAGGAAAGATCAAAACCAGGGACTCTTATCTCTGGGTTTTTAATCAAGGCGACGCCTCTTACCCCCGAGTCCTTTCAACGCGTTTTTTATATTTCCGACAAAGCGTTTACCGGAAACGCTAGGTCCAATGTCGAATATCATGACTTAAGTCTCTTTTGGGGATGCGCAGTAAGTAATGTCTCCGTGCAATGGGACGTTTAGGTTTCTTTTTCTCTTATTCATTGTACGTGTTACGTGCATCATTATACACAAGTCCGGTGGAGCTATGTTTGCAAGCACTGACAGCCAATGTACTTGGATCCATCTCACTATGTCAGTTATGATCCTCATGGTCTGGTTGAGTTCTACATCCACTTTCTTATAGTGTGTGCTCTTGATCCAACTAGGTCGTAGTATTCGGCCACGCTGTATACCGAGGCTAATACGTAAGATGTAAGTACGTAAGACTGTCGCGTTACTTCTAACTTCCCCAATTCGTTCCAGTAGCGTAGCAAGTGAGTAGGCCCGGGCTTACCCAATTTTCTCCGAAAATTAACACAATTTGAAAATCAAAAATTTGTTTTAGTAGTTTTTCCTATTCAAACATATTTTATATTATTTTATTGAGCCTAAGTACCCGGAAAAAATTGTCGCTACGCCTCTGGTTCGTTCCCGCTAGTTTTGGTACGACATTCCTCGTCTTTATATTATTTCTCACCCCTTCTAAATGTTTTTTTAAATGCCAGAGTTCTATCGAATTTTACCCAAAGATATCTAGCATATTCTTCATTTGATATGACAGTGTTATTCATTTTTATATTTAATTTTCTAATAGCTTCCTTGTTTAAGTAAAAAGCCAGTGCTACCGTTTTATCAGGATTTAGGGTATGGTACCTTTTGTTGAGATAACTGTGTAGTTCGTTAAGGTCTCGATTTAATATACCTACTCTCTACTGTGGTTAAGAAGTCAGATTGGGCGACCAATGCTATGTCATCCATATACATACATTTTCTTGCTACTGTTTCTACTATGTCAACACTCAGTAGTATAGACATTGAAAAGCACTCGCGAAAGTACCGAGAATTGCGGCAGTCCATTTTGCAGGTTCCTGTATTTACTATTTTGCTAGCTTCTCCATTCAGAACAGTTGTGTACCTATACATTAAAAAAATAGTTTATAAAATATTGAATAAATTTAGGTTACCTAACATGTTTGACGCTAGTATTTTTCGTGTTCAGTTTTTATCATTTATGGACAACTGCCCCCGACCCACCTACTACAGTGATAGCACTGATGGTAGATAGGAATAAATTAATGTCATTCAAGTTTCAAGCCGTGAGATTTTCCTCGTTGAACTTAATAGATGTTTAAACAAATTATCGTGTAACATAATTAGTAATGTCATCAATTGTATGCATATTCGCTTACAAAAAGTAAATTGTATGAATCTAAATATCTAAGTTAAATATTAAAATATTGTCTATATTTAAAATATGATTTTATTTAAAAGTATTAATATTTAATTATTTCCTTTAAATAAATTATTTATGAAAATATTAAATAAAAGTAGGTAATCATGGTAAGTATTTTTCAATTTGACAAAATATAATAAGTAGGTAGTTATATAGTATTATAGTTGTATAAACTATTATATTATTATTGGTTTATTATTAAAAAAATAAAGTTAAATTATAAATATTTAATATGAACCTTATAAATATTTTTACAAATTATATTATCTTATTTTCCACTTATTATATTATTATTTTATTATTCTATATCTTACTTAAGCAATATTTTGTTAATGAATACGTATAATTTTATTTGACTTTTTCATTTTACCAGTAAGTTTTATTACTTATCCTATAGAGGTACTTTATTAAAATGCTTTGTGTTAATAAATTAGTAATTATGTCTTATAAATAATTTAATTGAATAATATTTTTTTTTTCATGTATCTAAAAATAATATTTTAGTCATTTAGCCCAACTGATGATGAAAATTTTAATAGCAGTTTTGAGATTGGCTCATTATCCAAAAACTATGAATATAATCCTTTTATACAGGATGAGGATACTGAATCAGAAAAAGAAGACTTACCACGTCTGTTACTTATGGGATTAAGAGGGTAAATTATTTTACAATTAAATATAAATATTTTAACTAATTTCAATATTACTTTAAAGTAGCGGGAAAACTTCAATCCAAAAAGTTGTATTTCAAAAAATGTCTCCTAATGAGACTTTATTTATTGGTAGTAATAACTCAATATTAAAAGATGTTGTTAATAATTCAGCATTTGTTAATTTTCAAATTTGTGATTTTCCTGGTCATTTTAATTTTACTGGTATTGATGACATTGAATCTATATTTCAAGGATGTGAATCGCTTATATTTGTTATTGATGCTCAAGTAAATAATTAAATTTAAGAATATTTACTATGTATTACCTAGTAACTACTAATATGACATTACAATTTAGGATGCTATAGCTAGTGCACTTAATCGTTTACATTCAGTTGTAACTAAAGCATATAAAGTAAATAGTAATATAAAGTTTGAAGTTTTTATTCATAAGATTGATGGGCTTACAGAAGATACCAAAATGGAAACTCAACGAGAAATCCACCAAAGAGCTAATGATGATCTTGTAGAATCTGGTTAGGTTTTATTAAATAACACAAATTTAAAATATATTATAATTGTAATATTCTACTGTAAAAATTAACTTTAATATATATTTTCTTTTTTTACATTAATACTAACACTGTGTAATTTTTCTTGCAGGATTAGAACAAAAAATTTATATTAGTTATCATTTAACATCAATATATGATCATAGCATATTTGAAGCATTTAGTAGAGTTGTACAAAAAATGATTCCTCAGTATGCAACTCTTGAAAATTTTCTAAACATAATTATATCAGTAATATATTTATTTTTATTTTATTTTATTTTTCACTACTATAAATTGAATAAATATTATAATTTCAGACATCAGGAATTGAAAAAGCTTTTTTGTTTGATGTTAAAACTAAGATATATGTTGCAACTGATTCATCTCCAGTAGATGTGCAAAGTTATGAACTTTGTTGTGATATGATTGATGTTATTATAGATTTATCAAATATTTATGGGTGAGAAGTTAATATTTAAATTATTTTATTTAAATATTATTCATTGAAAATATGTCTAGCATGGGTGAAGACCAAGATTTAATGAACGATCCTGCTTTTGATGACAAAAGTTCAAGTCTTATAAAACTCAATAATGGTACAATTTTGTATTTAAGAGAAGTTTGCAGTTTTTTAGCACTTGTCTGCATATTAAGAGAAGATAACTTTGAAAAACAAAGTGAGTGAAAAAATAAAAATTCTTACTATTTACAATGTTTATTATTTCATTGTTTTTTATTACATTCATCATAGGAATTATAGATTATAATTTCATGATTTTACGAAAAGGAATTCATAGGTTATTTGAATTAAAAGATAAAGAAAAAGATAGTATTCCATCTAGTAAGTCATCATCACTTTTATAGTTTAATCATTTAAAATTTTGTATTTGAATGTTAGTACTGCTTTATATTTTATTTGAAGAAATGTATAATTATTATGTTTAAATATTTCTAAAAATAAGTTATTTAAACTGTAAAGTGTATTTATTTAAATAGTATTACTAAGTATATTATGAAACCAGATTGTACATCAATAAATATTATTTTTCACCAACTGATCTTAATTGTACTATGTGTTTATAATAGACATACATTTTAATTATTAACCTATTTGAAGATTACATTAAAAGAATGTTACAAAAATATTAAACTAAATATTTTTACTAAAAATGTGTATAATTTATATTATTTTCCACAAAAATAGAGACTATTAGTTTATATTGTGTTTGTTTATCAGTCTAAATTAACTCTTTACCAAGTAAATACTAAGTATGCAGTCAGTATTTATTTTGCAAACATAATGTGAAAATTTTTTTTTAAAATAAATTTTAGTAATATTAATTAATTTAATATATTGTGTTTTGAATGAATGACTGAATGTTATTTAATCATTAAAATGCATTCAAAAGTATCTTTATATGTTTCCAAAAAATGTATACATCCCATTTAAATTTCAAAAGTTGACCCCAAAACCCCCCTAGAAGACTAAAAAAAATGTATAAATCATTTTAGATTTTTAAAAATCAAAAAACTTTTACATTATACTTTTCTTGCAACTTTTGTATATCTCTAGATTAAATAAACCCAACTTTGGACTTAAAGTTGTTTAAAAGGAAATTTAAGTGATGCCCCGTAATAATCACCCCATATATAAATATTAAACATTATTTTTATTGGTATACAATTTATATGTACCTATTATAGTAATGTATGTTGTCTAATCATTAACTTGTAATAATAGTATTACCATAGCTAAATATTTAGCCATGAGTATTACAATATTCCTTTGTTATTCAATTATACCTTATAATATTATACATTATTTATAACTAGTTAATTTATTAATTTATTACATTAGTTGTTTTTTCTTATAATGAAAAATAACTATTAATAATAATAATATTTTTTTTTTAAATCTCAAATAGTAACAGTTTTATGCATTTTAAGTAATAGATAATTAATATCTCAAATACTATTATTGTAGAAGTACCAAAAAAATTGTAATTATATAATAAATGTAAACACAAATCAATAAAAAACATGATTTTAGTTTAAATTAAATAATATTTAGATATATATATATATATATATAAATATAAAAATTTAAACTATAATATTTAAAACTAGATAATACATTAAATAAAATATATAATGATTCAAATTTTTAATAACACAAGTGTTCCAACATATATACCATTTTAATTATTACTTTATTAGTACATTTATTAAATACTATAATTATTGAAACAAATACAAATATTGGGGTAACAAAAAAAAAAATTAGAAATAAATATGTAGAATGTAAATAAAGAGTAAATTATGTTATGGAATTATAATGTCACATCATAAAATGGATTTGTAAATTTTAATAAAAATGCATATGAACATGTAAAACAAAAAATATATACACAAAATCTTGTTAATATTATAGTTGCTAATTTAAGACATTTGGATATTTGTTTTGCAAAATTCTGAGGTATTCCCATCATTCCAGATAGTACAACCATATTTACATTATTGTGCTGTTGCTTTGATGTATAAAAATCTATAATAGCACTGGGCAAAAATGGCACTATTACAGACTAGAAAAAAAATTAAATACAATAGAAATTAAGAAAATAAAATTATAAAATAATTCCTTTCTTAAACAATACAAAAAATAGTACATATAAACAAAATTCAAAAACTTAAGTAATCATAATTAATTAATTTTACTTTATTTTCTGTTTTATACAAAAGAGTATTATTATTATAGTGAAACCAGTTATGGAAAGCCGCAAAAACAAATTAAATTATTATTTAAGACATAATTCCATATAAATAGACTAGAATATTATGTACAAGAAAATGCAACAGAACCTAATTACATTTCCATTAGACAAATTTGATTGTAAACAATTAGAATGAAATAAAAGTTTTGCATTTATAAAATAATTAGATATAAAAAGAAATGGGGTGATACTGTTAATGGGTGTGCCACTGTGGTAAGTGAAAAATTAGGATACATAGTTATTTAATTTTTAACTCTATGTAACAATAAATTATTGATAACAAAACTACGATTTTTAGTGAAATTTAGTCAAACTTGTTTTGAGCTGCCATGATATTTAATTGTCATCAAATTTTAACGCTTGTAAAAAAAACTAGGTACATTTGTTCATAATTTTTCGTAAATAAATGTGAAAACAACACGGTTAATTGAAAAAATGAACTTCCAACATACTAATTTAAACATTTTTTACTAAAACAGATGCTACTCTTGAAATTTGGAGCAAATTTTCTGCCTATGAAAATAATTAAACTTTTATTGATCTGTTTTTCTTTACATTTTTTTTCCAATTATTATGAAAATTGCTTGAAAAATCAAAATATGACCTCAGTCCTTAATGCAACACAATTTCTAGTAGAAAAGTTGTTCGGTCACAAAAACATTATAGTAAGACCAACATTCCTCCCTCCACTCAAAATCTAAAAAAAATATAGTTCACTAGTATAAATATTAAATTTTACAACTTTTGAACATTTTAGTACTATCTGACGAAACAACTATAATATTTAAAGTGAAATCAAATGTATAAAAATATGTTATTTTTAAAGTACATCAGAAAATGATCCTCGGGTAATACAAATTAAATAAAAAACAAATAATATTATACAAAAAATTAAAGTTCTTCAATTTTAATAAAACTAGAATATTTTGTAATGTAGGTATTACTTACATTGCCAAATAAAAATCCTAGATCATAGTAGAATAATGCCAAAATAATTTGAGATAATACCATGTGTAACACTGTAATTGATGAAATTTTAATTTCATAATTAAAAGACTTAGAATGCAATTTTGAACTAAAATTAGTTTTGTAGTTGAAAAATGTTTTGTCTTTAAAAACGTTTGGATTCAAATTCTCTGTGGGCTCCTTATTATGATGTTTTGGAATGGTCCAATCAGATAATTCAGGTTTTATATTATTATTTTCTGAAACGAAAAAATGTGTAAACAATTCTAAAAAATAAACGATATTTTGTTTTCAAGTTAAATAGTTGAATAGTTAAATTTAAAAAATGTATTATTACCCTGTTTGTCTTTTATGATTTCAGTTTGTTCGTTTAAAACATTTTCGTCTGTAGTAATTGAAGTAATTTTTTTAAGTCTAATTTCAGAATTTTCTAAAATTCGTCTGCGTCTTGCTTCACGTCTTTCTTCTGCGTTCATTATGTGAATTTGTCTACAAAAATTTGAAATACTATAAAAAAAATAGAGTCTATAAATTATTTTCTAAATTAATCAAAATATTTATGTACCCTATAATCTGTCTACCACAGATAATAGACATATCAATATTAATAATTCTGATACACTAACACAATTCAAAATATTTAAATATTGATAATATTAATATACGTATGGTCTACTATTTTTATAGTAGTAATAATCATGACAAATTATTATGTTCGGAAGTATTTGTATTTTAAGTTTATTTTGTCATGGTAATAATATTTATTGATAGGTGTATGTTATCGTACCACCTTTAGTTGTTACCACAATTAAATTATATCTTTAATCGTGATTGTTACCGCGATTATGTTGTTATCACAGGCATCTCAAATTCTGATTACGTGTAAATATGATTACCTATTCAAATGGTGCTAGGAGTAATAATAAGCTTGTGTCGGAAATTATCTTGCAGTCGAACAATTTATTAAATTTATAACTAATCTAAAATCTCAGAAATAGTTTTTTTTCCGAAAGGAGAGTGTTCAAAAGGTTGAAATTACTTTACGAAATAAATGTAATATTACATATATTGTTCTATACAACATACATTTTCTTATAATCCACTATTTTAAAATATAACTCAATAGTGAGTAAAACATAATTAAATTTATGTTAATTTTCCTTATAGATGTTTTTTTACTAATTGGTTGATGACTTGATGACATTATTGGTAAGCACGTTAATGTCACGATGAAGATTCAATGAGGCTAAATATCTTAGTATCTTATCTTAACTATTATTATTTATATTTCTAAATTATTAATGTATGACCAACAACGCGATTTTATATGTATATATATATATATAAATATATATATTATAATGGTATCATAAGCGCGATATTATCGTACAACACCGTCATATATTTAGAGTGGCACCTGAAGGAAAGGGATTAAAGATAAGTAGAAATAAAACTGAGTATAAGTTTGGAGGAACAGGATAAGGCAGTTAACGACGATAAGCGATCACAGGAAGGGTTGAAAGGGGAATTACCCCCCTCCCCCCAAAAAAAAAGGTAATCATTTTGGGTACAGCCCATTTGCGCCAAAATAAAAAAGGTACTTTTTCCACCGCCTATTTGCGCCGAATTTACCTGCGTATATTACACGATTACGTATGTATAATATTACAGTTAATACAATTATTTGTATTACTGTTTTAAAGTTGTGTATACAAATTAAAAACAAGTTTTATTGTATTGTACAATGCACTGAGTTATCGGATAAGATAGATTATTTAATATTTTATAATATTATTTGAAAAAAAATGTACATTTAAAAACAATTTGTTTATTATTGAACATTGATAATTATTGTAAAACTTGTATTTGTATTATTAAAATTTATGTCATACCTAATTATTTAAGTGCTAAAAATGAAAATATGGACATACTTCGATCATGGGTGCAGCCACTTGTTGTATAGGTGGAAAATTGGGAAGATAGGATACAGAAGAGAATTTAATATATATCTTAATAATAATAATATAATTTCATGTATACTTCTAAGCAACGATAAACCATTGCTAACGGAAAAACTATTCTGAACGGAGTTCAGTTGATAGTGATGCTTTTTCAACAATATATTTTGTTTAATATTGTACTGATTTTCCCGGTTTTCACATGTTTTTCCTGATTTTTCACATTTTCTGGGAAAATTGAAAATGGAATGTGTAATAGTTAAAATTGTATCGAAAATAAATAAAGGAGGAAAGAGGAGGACTGAAAAAGAGGTGGTTGTATGCAATTGGTAATGATATGTGGACAGCCGGTGTATGGGAGGTAAGAGATGTCAAGGTGGAGAGGTGGAGAGGTCAAGTGGAAGTTTAGAACGAGGGTGACCAATCCAAAATAGTTGGGATGAAGTCAGAGGAGAAGAATACCTACCGCATAACTAAAATATACCTAGATAAGTGAATAATAGTAAGACTTACTAAAATCGTGAAAAAAATATAAGTAAAGATGGTCATATTTTATTTTTATGTCAGTAGGCAATAAAAATATTATACGGTGACACTTATTTTATATGAGATGGTACCAAATTTTTGTTTATTTTCGCTAGGTTATTAAAAACAAAAAAACACTATCATCGTGGCTTGCCAAAAGTAGGTATGCAACGGCAACAGAATAATAATGTTCGTGCCAAAGTTATCTTTAAGAATTTTTTGCTATTTCTAAAACTTTCTAGAACACAACTGTTGAACCGTAACCATTTAAAAATATTCAAATCTATTTAAAAGTTGAATTCGTATAGGTACCAATAATTTAAATTACAAATAAATTCTAAAATAACACGTAAAAAAGGTACAAATTGTACATGCGTTTTAGTTTTATTTAAAATAATATTTGATAAACGATAAGCGAATATGATATACATGTATAATATATATGTATAATCTTATTACAACATTCATTTCCTAATATTATAATATTGTCCATGTTTTACAATTATTTGATGGATTTTAGTTGGTAATATTTGTTATAATGTTAATTACAGTTGACTTTATATGTATAAGATTATTGTATTAAACTGATGTGTATTATAATGGAGAGCAAAATATGGGATAAGGTTTCTCAGGGCTTCTCCCTTGAAAAAATAATATGATCTACCTAATAATTTTAATAAACTGAAATTCAAACCTTGATTTACCATACATTTAGAGTTTTTTGTATTTTTTCCTCCCCTCCTCTAAAATTTCAACTCTGGCACTCATGTAGGTACCTAACTAAAATGAAACATATTAATATTATTTAAAACTGGATTGAAAATTCAAGCGATTGATATTCGTTTTATTATTATTGAAAACGATGATTTTTAAACTATTAATTATTTAAAATAATTGGCAATAAATAATTTTTTTTTACAAATAATACTGATGAATCGAAGTTTGTTATCAGTTTTTTTTAATTTTGTAAAAAAACTAATGAATTTAGACATTTGTTTCAAATAAAGTGCTTACCTATTACCATTGGCCAACAAATCTGAATATTCAATGTACTGCTAATCAATTTTGGGCCATTGTTACTAACCAAAAATGTTTTCCAAGAAAAAAACAAACGTTTTAGTTAAACCAAGTTTTCGCCATACCTATACCTACTCAGAATCTAAAAAAAATAAATAAATACTTATATTATAGTATGTAGGTGCCTAAACAAAAACTTGGTCTACCAAAGTAAATACCCAATAATATTATTGTTTTTTTTTTATTTTATTTATTATTGATTTATGTTTTAAAAAATGGTGTTAGGGTTGTATGGGGTGGTGAAGCTTTCCATAGGGTAGGCTGAGTTCGATAATTAAAAGGTATTATATATCTATGTATATCTAATTCGTTTTATTAATTTTTGTTGTAATTCTTTTTATTTTCCCTATTCGAGCACTGTTATTATGTACCTACAAATAAAATAATACTATTTATCCTATATAATAAAACATTTTAAAATTGTTTACCTAAGTGATTTAAATAGGAACCTATATATAGATTTTATGAATATTATAGTAATATAACTATATTACACCTAATAGGTGTCTGTATAGATACTTATATAAGTTTAATTTAATTATTTACAGATAATAACGTTACGGACCAATGACGAAAGAGGGTAAGGTGCACCGTTAATTATAAGCAGCCAAGTAAGTATACCTATACCTACCTGTACAACCTATGTGAAAAAAAAGTAGTGAAATGATAAACAACTATTATAATACACTGGCTAACAACTCGCTTCATAGTCAGTCGGTTTGTTAGCACTGTTGGTAGTTGTTGTGTTTTCAGTATAATTATGTTCGCCTCGACTTGTATTTTACTCGCGTAATAGACAAGTAGTGGTCAACAATACCGACGAATATTGTACAGTGATTTTTAATACCTACCTATACAAAAGAGAGGTAAGATAAATTATTTTTATTAATTATTTTGATTTTTAAAACTCTAGAAACTCTTATCCCTGTATACAGTGATGGATTGGTCTATCAAGAAATCGGGATTTTCCCTGTGGCTCCCTGTTCGTACTTCATTATGGGGCCCTTTTAGTTTTAGGACCTTATTTTAGGTTTGAATTTGTTTGTAGGTACCTGTGTACCATATGTATAAAAAAAAAAAAACAAATATCCCGAAAATTTTAATAATAGATCGATAGATATTCGTTTTTCGTATTTCAGCTGTAATAAAACACTTCTTGGCTCCGATTATTTAGAATTTAAAATATATTTTGTTTTTTTTTTTTAAATATAGGTAAATCATAAGTACTTACATTTTAATTACAATAGTATAATACCGAACCTAACCTAGATATATTTCCACAATATATTTTGTATAAATGATTAAAATAAGTAGTATTAATAAATTAAAACCACATTATTTTATATTTTTCAATAAATATAGTTTAAATATAAGGTACCAGGACACCTATGTATAATATTCATCAATATAAAATCTTTATTTCTATAAATTAGTACCTTTTGTTTCCCGTAATAGTACCTATATAGGTAGGTATGCTTACTACCCACCCACCTATAGAATTAAAATAAGATTGCTATTTTTACTAATTTATACTCAGGCACTATAGAAACCATTTACAAATATAATATATTATATTTGGTTAAATTTTTGGCAAACCTCCGCTAGAAGTGTAATAGTATGGCAGAACACAAAATGGCAAGGGTATATAGTTTCTGATCTGTATTTTTTTTTATTTTTGAGCGATGTATGCGATGTCCCGAACAATAAGCAATAGTTTATTTGTTATTCATTAAGTAATCAAACCAAATCAAATTGCTTTCTTCAATATCAACAATATCATAATTCGTTAATTAATTATATAATATTATATTTGACCCGGCAATGCTATTACTAGATAATAATGTAAATAATAGTAATAATAATGGTTTTTTTCTTATTCGTAACAAGCAAATTGTCATCCATGTCACTAAGCAAACCCATAAATAAACAAAAATGAAAATATATAAACAATTAGACATTCGTACCAAAAATACCTAAACACCCAACTATTGAAATTTTCATAGAGATATTAAATTTTTTTGTAAATAAAATACAGCCCATGTTACTCTCTGATGATATAGCTTTTTGTAAGTGGAAAAAGTTTTAAAATCGGTTAAGTAGTTTTTGAGTTTATTCATTACAAATATATAAACAAACCTTTTCTCTTTATAATCTGAATTATTATAAATTATAATAATTACTTTTACAGTATTATTATAGATAATAATTAAATTTTCTTTAGGATTTACATGGTACCTACATAATTTAACGTACATATTATTGTGGTTTTCGACTAAACATAAAACAATATCATTATAGGCATATTAATTATATTTTCCTTACGATTTCAACTTTTTTTATCATAGATTTTATCTACCTACCTACTGAAGTCTATTGATTCTGTTAAGTGTTAATATAATTGCAATATTATAAATAATGGGTTTAAGTAGGTACCTACCTAAATAATTGTATTGGTTTTTTATTTTATTTATTTATTTAAAACAGTACCTACACTTACTTTCTATTATTACTTATTAAGTACAACTATTTTAATAATTAGATTGATACCTATTACCTATATTGCTTAATAACAATACCCATACAAATTACTAAAAAACATTAATAGTGAACATTAAATATATTTTGAACTTTTGAAGGTCAAAACAATTCGTTCGTTTTATTTATCAGTTATTTTAATGTTGAAAGATAATTAAATATTTTATACTGTAACAGAGTGGTTAGTAAACAGTAAACTAGGTAAAGAATAAATAAATAAACGTCAGTTTATTATTATATCTACTCGAATAATTGTATACGGGTACCTATCATACCATCATATTTGATATTTCCTACTAATAAGGTAGGTATGCATTTCTTACGAGATATAAAAAAAAAAATTGTATACAATTATTAAAATTCGCGTATAATATAGATAATGTGGCTAATTTATTATGCAGGCATTAATTAGTTAATTAATGTGATGTGATGATTTGAAATTGTACACATTTTTGTATGTGTGAACAACTTTAGTACCAAAAATAAAACGGACAAATAAAAATACAGCAATAAAAATTTCATTTTTCAAATTTATTTTGGGTGTTTTTGAATTTTGTTTTTCTATTAGAAATCTTGCTTCGAATTAACAGTTTATAAACTGGTTTTTTCCAGTGCAAAATTTAACAGAAATAACGGTTTTATTATTTTCGATTTTTATTTTTGTTGTACTTAATTCGATTTAAAATAATTATAAAAACCTGCAATTTTTTACAGAATATTTATATTAGGTTATTCTAGACGTTGTACAATTTTCAAACCATTCTGGAGATTTTTGAGTTACTTGACAATTCTACAAGTTTCATCATAATAGTAGCCAAAAAAAAAAAAACAAAAATAACCTATTGTAGTAAATAGTTTTTTATGTAGGTACACAGTTGTGTATGAATGTAAAGTTCAAATTTTGATGAAACCGTAAACATCATGGTATTTAAAAACACGTTTAACTTACCTTCACTCAGAATTGTATTTCGATAACAATCGTTGCAGTTTTTTTCCTTCAAGTTTTGGTAAGTGGTGTTGAGTGATGGCTATGGAGGGATATTATTGTATACCACATCAAATTTTACCACACCATACCGCTTCTCTAAGTTGCCAATAAACTTTAAAATATGCATAATTAACTGTTGTTATTGTTGTCAATATACTTTGATATTTATGATATATATATACTCGTAAACCAAATTTTTTTTTGTTTTTGTAATATTCTGAGTTAGAATAAATTACAATTCAAATTGAAACTGAAAACTCAGCAAGAAAAAAAATTATATTTTTTTTTCGTTTTTTATATGCAAATTGTATTTACAATCTGAAAATACAAAAACAGTTTTCTAATGTGGGTGTATATGACAATAATAATTAATAAGTAATATTATGTACTACAATTTCGAAGAACGGAATAGAGGCAGAAGTTCATTGGTAGAACTCCTAAAATGAAAAAATATAGGAAAATATAAATTGTACACAGATTTATTACAATCATAATTGATAATCGAATTCTGTTTTTTAAATTTTTTTATTACTCACGGGGAGAAGGACTACAAATATATATACTACAATCAATTTTTTATCTTTAAGTGTAAAACTTAAAAAAATAACTTTTTATTTTATTGTTTTTACTAAATTTGATGATGGCTCTTTTATAGAGTTTATTCTGAAAATGTTGACGTAAATATCAACATTTTGTTTTAATTAAATTTTTGATTTTAAATTATTTTTTATAGTTCCGAGAAAAAAAGTGCACAGTCAATTAGCCATAATAATCAATTAGCGTATGCCATTACAGACTGTTGCATAGTTATAAGTACTTTTATTAGAACATAAAAAAAATTATTAAAATTTGTTATTTTTAATGAATTTAATGAAAAAAAAGAATTGAAACGTCAAAATATTCAGAAAAATAAATTATATAAAATGATTTTCTTCACGTTTTCGAAAATAATAAAATAAAAAGTTATTTTTTTAGACATTTTCAATAAGAGGGAATGTAAGTATAGTAAATAATAACAAGTAGCCAATATATCGTACCATCTCCTTCTGTTATTAACTCGACAATGGAAATATAAAGCTGGATTCAAAACAGCGAACTTATATATTTAATAAATCAACCTTTTCGTTGTAACTTGGCAGCAATATGTAACATTAAGAATAAATTTATTAAGTAAGCAACTAATAAATACTAATAGTTGTATTTTTTAGTCTTACATAAAATTGTATACATAACATAGGTAGGTACGTATACCTACGTGGTTATTATAATCTGAAATTCAATTAGTCTCATTATTTTAGTTTTTATACAAATATTTTTTTTCTTAACAGTCAGTATTTATCTAGGTATATCTATATTATAAAAAAATATAAATATACTGATATTAATAATTTATATCAAATTTAACCATAATTAAAAATAGTAAAGTTTTGTTCCGCCGAACGATTTTCAAAACTAAATTATTGCTCATTTTCCTCCGCCTTTCAATTATTAACTTGTTAACTGTCTGAATTGTAATTATAATTGTATACTATTATGTATACTTATTATATCCTATTTTAAATAATAGGTATATAATAAAATGTGTACTATAATATACTTGTATAATTTTTAATCATCCCCAATACCCGATATAGGTACTTATATAGGTATTTATACTCATCATATTATATAGTATACACTATAGAACATATAACTAGGAGCAAATCTAAAAATTAGACAAGGGAAGCTGAAAAACATTCACTTCTCGTTTGCGTTATAGATGTGTTTTTTTAATATACGTCCTATTTCTCAAGTATTCACATACTAAGGAGAGGAGGCTTCAGCTTCTAAATCCCTCTACTTGTATCGATCCCGCCTATATCTACTTAAAAAAAAAAAAACTTGTTTAGAGTTAACAAAGTATTTAAGCATACAAATTACAAAACTGCGCAATGTATTCAAACAATAATAAACTGTTTATATTATATTTATAATGTATGTATGGATAGAAATTTTGTATAATACATAATACGTCATTAATTTATTATATAATATTCTGTATGTGTATAATCATACGTACTATTGCCACGTTAGTAGGTTAGTAACTTAAAAAGGTTATAGATATAATATCGAAGAGAGATATTATATGGGTATGGTTTATGTAATAATATGTTTTTTATATAAATTAAAATTATTTTTGATACAAAGCACTAAAGAAATAGGTACAATGTACATGATTTATTATAAAAAATACGATTCTGAACAAAGTTTGGTTAAACATGTTTTAAGATGTCGTAACTTTTACAATTTTCGTCAAAATTTGAACTTAAAAAATCGTATGTAAAAAAAATCTATTGTAATAAGTTAATATTTTTAATTTATTGTTTTGGCTATTAAATACAATTTATAATGAATCTCGTAGAATTTTTAAGCGTTTCTGCTCGGCCAAGCAATTTTTATTCACAATGCATTAACCGCATATAACCAAATGTATTGAAATTAAAAAAACACGAAAATGTCAAAAGCTTATTAGTAATCAGCTAAAAAATTGTAAAAATGTTTTGAAAATAAAAACACATCTATAAAAGGCCATTATAACTTATAAGTATTTTGCGAAGATGTCAATATTTATGATAATTTTTAATGGAATTAAAATAAGAAAACAAAATTTTAAAATTTGTTAGTATTTCCTATACTTACGTTTTCCCCTGGTTGTTTTCCAATTATTAAAGAAACTACAAGGTAAATCAAAAAAATGGTTTCAATAATATTGCTATAGGTACTACCAATAATATAGTAAACAAAATCACAACAATAATACGCGTTTCTCTTTTACATTTTTGATACGCCATAATTTTTTAGGAAAAATATTGTGCCCACTTACTTTGTTTACAATTTTCGACAACACTGACCTTGATGTAGCAAAAACATATTTTTTTTGTTAAGACTCGCCTGCTATAATATTATACCTAGTGGTAGTATTGATTGTTGAGTATTGACTACCTTATACTATAATATATATTATATTGAGCCTACCATATAAAGTTTTTTTTTGTGTCGTTTTTGTTATGCATGAACATTATTCAAGGTCATTGCTTACCCGTTTTGCGTCACTTGCGCGCAGATTAACATGTATAGAAAATCAAATTGATTCATAATATTATTATAATTATTGGTTTTTAATTGATTTCAATAATTTAGTAAATACATTTGATTAACAAACATTTTTATTTTTTAAACAATTGAAAACAACTTATGAAAATGTTGAATTGACAACAATTTAGAAGTATAGATATAGTCTTTTAGTAATATTGTTTATTTTAAAATTCAAAGAATCGTATAAAACATTTACACGTAGGTTGGTACGGTGACAAAATAGCTAGGTCGGAATAGAATATACAATCGATTTTTTTTTTTTTACTTCCTGTATAAACAAACAACACAAAGACAAATTACAATAATTGCTTAAATTTACTATACTCAGCGTTAAAAGATGGTACCATTAGTTTTACACCATTTATTGCGGACTTTCATAATAAAATATAATATTAATACCTAGCTTACATTAATAGATTTTTTTAAACTACATCAGTTTTGATTGAAAACTTGAATGTGTGTATTAATTTAATATCAAATATATATATATTTTTGAGAAATTAGCTATCTAAGGCAGAGCCGTATCTAGATTTCCGTTTACAAGGAGGGGAGGAGATAAAAAATAATAATCAATAAAGATATGTTTTTTCAATATTTATAATTATATCAATAGAATCTATACTTTGACATATTGTGTAATAAGTAATAATATTTTTAAGATTAAACAAAAAAATACGAGAAATTAAATTAAATCATACGTAAATACTAATTGTAGTACATTATACATATATTATTTTAAAATAATAAAATACTTCTATTTTTTTTTTTAAGGGCAAACTTGTTTAAAGTTTCTTTTATATTCTGCCTATAACCGCAGAGCCGGATCTAGATTTTTCTTATTGTCAATAGCCATCCATCGATAGCAGTTTATTTTTAATACATGCCTATGCAACTTTCGTAATATAACATTAAAATAATAATTGTGCTGTTTTTGTGAGACCAGGTTTTTTTTAAAATTGTTATTAGCTTCTACACATGAAATATATTATAATACTTGATAATTAATAGCAAGGAACAAAAAAAAAAAAAAGACTAATATTAGTGGAGTGTTCTAACGATGAAAATTACGTTTCGATTCCGTGGTCGAAGAAAGAAGACAGTAAATGCATATAATTTTATTGGGTCATCTTCTTAATAATAGTTAATACATAATGTGGTATCTTATAAGTTATAATAATATTATGTGTATCTCGTATACATTTTAGTTTTGTGACATTGAATTGATTTATCTATTTCAACTTCCGGTGTACTATAGTTCATAGTTATACAAGGTAATTCGCTATTGATATTCCCAAAGCATTTTTTTTATTGTCTATAATATAACCTACCTAGTTTTAAACTTAGCTAATCAAAATTTGTATGATTGATGAATTGAGATTTTAATTTGTACAATGACTACAATCATATTAGTTGAATTGATTCACAAATGTATAAGTACTTGGTGTCTAAGTAAATACTATTTTATATACACTTTAATTGAAAAAGTGTTACATATTATAATATTTCTTGTATGCCATACAATTATATATTTCTTTAAATCGACATGAAACTTAAGTAGTTCAACTATAGTGAGATTTTGAAATACAGTAATATGTAATTACTTTCAAATTAAATATGACAATATACACTCGTTTAATAGTGTTCAATTATTGGTCTACTCTAGTTACAAAATAGTAATTACTTTATATGAATATTGTATATTTTTATATTACACATTCTGTACAATTTATGTTTACGCATATAAATGTAATAAATCGTATAATCATATTTTATAGAAAATATACTAAGTGTATGGACTATTCCAGAGAAATTTATTTAATAACGAACCTGCAATTTTCTAAGTTGATTTTTCTTGTATTCAAATTTAAATAAACATGAAACTATAACATTTTTACTGAAAAATTGAATATTTTATTTTTTCTGTTTGCAATCTATAATAAATTATATAACATATCCAATAAATATATTTAAAACAAAAAAAAAAAAAAACAGTCTCAAAAAAAGAACGCTGTCATACATTTGAAAAAAAAAATATGCATCAAAAATGTATTGATATCAATATTTGCCAAGCTTTTAATATTCTCAGATCCCGTTCTCTAATTTCCGTATACTTACATCTTTTCGCATCATTTTTATGTTTCACCTTTGAACTTTGCCTGTTGATTTTTACAATTTTTAAATTTAAACACTAATAAAAATATGAATACATTACCCTCAATTTTTTGTTTACTACTTTAAAAGTACTAAGTATAGGTACAAATTATGATGACCTTTGTGTTAAATTATCTAGCATTTTTACTCTTGAAACTGTTTTTGCGTACATTTTCACGTTTTCCCTGAATTTATCCGGAGTATTTCAATTATTAAAAGAACTAAATTTTCTTTCAATAACCTTCCTGAAAGTTGATTATCGTAACAAGATTTCTAGAGGAAAATGTTTTCATAGATAAGTGGCATCCAGTTTTTTAAATTTTTTAGCTTTAAAAAAAATCTTTTTTTCATGGGCATTTTTCTACAAATTAAAATACTTAAGCGTTATTATGGTATAAGTTATAACACAATTTTAATCTTGTCTGTTTATAAATTTAAGCACTATCTATAGTTGTAATTCTATAAGATTATGAACAATATTTTGTTTATATTTATTACAGATACTATTTTAAATTGGCATCAAAAACAAAACAATTTTTGTGCAATTAAAAGATAAAAATTAACTTTCTACAATCTACATTACAATATCACAGTGACGTGTTTTAATTATATTAGTCTAAAAAAATGAAATATTTATCTCAACTAACTTATTAAATATTATAAATCATTATTAGATATTTAAAAACGTCAAATTGAAAATTATAACATTATATATAGTTCTGTGGTAGATATCTATTGTTTTTAATACTTAGCGAATACGAGTATGATTTATCGTTAGGTCATTAGCCCTTATATACACATAATATAATAGGTCATGATTTATTGATATGCCAACTACAAGTTCATCATAACATTTTGTTTTCATTTTATTTGATGGATTATTCATACTTTCAAAAAAAAATAATACGTACCTATTTGCTCCTTCGTTTTTTTTTTTTGCAATAGGAATTATTCAGTGTTGTAGAAATTGTCCAGTATTGTTTTGAAGATTCGCATTTTACATCAAATATAACATTCCATTGCCACATGTTTGTTGCTTAATATGATAAGTGTAATAGTGTTTTATTAATTAATAGTAACTAATCCGTCTGAGCTAACTTAATTTTTTTTTTTTGAACCACCACAAGAGGGGGATTTCTTTCGCATTGCTTTCTCTCAAAAACATAAAACTAATTAATTAAACTTACTTACTTATTAGTATCTATTTACAAAGCTACAAATCTAATTGTTTTTAAAAGCGTTATCACTATAATTTATAATAATTGTATATTTGTATATCAATTCGATCGGCAACACGCAAAGTATATACTCAAACCGTTATTCTTATATTATATGGCATTTATAACTATAACCTATAGTACGTTAGTATGTATACTAGTGAAAATAAGTACGGGAATTTTAAAATGTATAAACATTTTCTTAATATAAGTACTTAAGTACTAAGTAGATCCCTGAGATCAATTATATTGGTACGCAATTTGTATTCTGTTTGAGACTAAATACGATTTGGGTGAAACGGTGTTTTTTTTAATTTACATAACATATTTTTAATAGGTCTAGGTTAGGTGTCATAAGTAGGTACCTGGTACATATACATTTATAAGTTCATATACAGAATAATATGTGAAAGTAGGAAATTTTACACCGGTTAACATGTTCTACCTTTACATTTTATAGGTTACTATACAAATTATATTACGGTTTAGATTATCAACAGTTATTTTTACATTGATTATGTTGATAGTAGGTACAGTTAAAATTATGTATATAATATGATTCATATATAATTTCTTATTTAATCTTATTTAATGGACTAAACTAAATTTATAAATCCACCTAACGATTTTTTTTATGACGGAAATTGATAAAAGTAAGGGTAAACTATTAAATCCTATATAGTACATTTAGTAGAAAAAAATGTTTTAATTTAAAATTCAAAGTAGTCTTTAATGTACGAAATTATAAATATGTTTTAAATAGGTTTACGCAGTTATTCTTTGACTTTCGTAGTTCAATGCTTTCGGAAATTTCGTAAAATTAAACATTGTAAACTATAAGTTCCCACGAACATTTTTTTCGAGAAAGATCAGTTTATAATGACGAATATCATTTCTATCTAGAAAAGGCAAATATAAACAAAAAAAATAAACATCTTAGTTAAACCAATACATTTTTCACTACTCTCAGAATCTAAAATATATTAAAATCACGAGAAAAACCGTCAATATCCAAGCATAGCTGTTAATTTTATTGTTATCGAGTATCATTGATTACTAATGAGTAATGTATATTTGTTTAGAACCCAGGGTGACGTCACTTTATTGCTAATTGACTTTTATCAGTATTATTATTTCCTAATGCTCTGTTTATTTAATCATAAATACAAATTTAAATAATCTCGTGATGTTAATTACAATAAAACCACGAAATATAGCATGTTTTTTTTTATTTATAAAACGATATCTTTAACTGTTTTCGGTTGGCGTATAAATATAGATAAATAAATGATAAATATAGGTTTATACTTACTTAAGTTCAAAATATTTAAAAATTATGTATCAAGAAGATAGTGGTGGATTAAGATATAAGGGTAAATACTGGGGTCAATGAGACTGTATTGGTAAAACCCCCAATAAAAAATTTGTATCTGTACTTTTAAGACGGGTCCATTGACAACAGTTAAAGATACATATATACCTGCATATACCCGAATAATAAAGCCAAATTTCACATCACAATAAGGGAACTATTGTTATAGGGAGGATATTGAGAGGGTAGGATAAATCATTGTGAACGAATTCTGAGCAAGGTTTTTTTTTTTTTAATAAATATGATTATAAAATTGTATTGATTTATAATAAGTAATATAGGTAGGTAACGAAAGTTGGTGGTTTTCTATTTTTCCGTTTTTGAGATCACCATAAATATTCCGATTGAATTGTTTAATTGAAAATGTATTTAATTATTCGGAAATTAATGTTTTAAAAGTTCCTATCAAATTGAGATACTCTAAATGAAATACTTATCTTTAAACTTTTTAGCAATAACTTAAAGTTATTACTAATATATTTATTGTTTATTACCATCTCATTTACATATTTGTATTGATCTATATAACTAAAGGTTATATAGGTCATTAACTTAGTGTGATTATTGCTGTAATCGTGGCTAAATAAATTTACTTCGCAGTGACTTTGATTATTTACAAAGGACATAGGTACATATTATTAATTATTGCAATTAATCTATTTAAAAATGCTCATTTTTTAAGTACTTATTTTAAAGTGGCATGTGGCGTGATGGGCGTGAATAGTATATAATGGGTGTGTGTAATATAGTTCTTACAGTATAATTTGGTTTGGTTAATGGTTATATTATTATTGTGTTATTTTTATTTTTATTTAATTTACACTAAAATATTATTAAACATTGGGCTGTTGTAGATCTACAGTATTTTATCATTTCTATATTTAGTTCAGTTTATCGGCTATTATATAACTGTATAATAGGTGACATTTTAGGAGATAAGCAACTTAAAAAAAAAAAAAATTGGTCAAAATGTTTGCTAAATTAATGTTTAATGTTATTTTAACATATATATGTAATAACTAATATTTATTTCAGGGGGGCAGGTCCCCCTCCTAACGAGCACTCATATCTGCAGATACTGCTAATTAATAATTAGGTAAACCGAAAACCGGTTAAACCACCGAGTAAATAATATAAAAAAGAATTTACTATGTGATTATTAATAGTTCAATAACTATTCAAATTTGAATGTTTTATAAAAATGCAAAACATAAGAAAAATATATTTGTTCATTAGTTGTAATTGGTACCTATAGCTTATAGGTGTCATAATCTTAGATAAGTTCCTACTTAGTATCTATATTATATATTTTATATAAGTAGGTAGTAGTATTTGTGTACTACCACACAAATAATGCTCTACTAACTTTCCTCTAAGCCATATCAAAACTTAAAAGTGGAATATCTGGTCATCGAGTTGATCGTTGATGGAAATCAAAAATGTCAACACTAACATTCATTTAAATTAATACTCTGTTTATTGACGAAATTTTCAATATAGGTTGCCATTTTAAAATCAAATATAGGCAGTTTATTGACCCCCAAAATTAAAGGTGACAGAAAATAATGGTAAAAATAATAAATAATATAAAATTTTAGAGTTATTTATTTCTTAACTTGTCAAAAAAAAAAAAAAATCCGAAAAAGTTAATACTTTCCAAGATATCGCAGTGATCGTGGGACACCCTGTAGAGACATGGAAGTGACTTACGAAGAGCCTAAAGAGGTCATTGATATAATGGTCAAAGTACCAAGACGTATGAATATTTTTTATAATATAATTATTAATTAACATATATGTACATATATATAGTAATGAATAATTAGGATAATTATGAACATTTTACATTTTTTCAGACCCCCTCCCAGCATTTTTTCCTGCGATTGCCTCTACGTCAATAATATTACATTCACACTCATTCATACTACAAAATAATATAGGTATTAGGTGCATAATAATGATAATAGGTATTTAATGATCATGAATTATTAAATTTGATAATTTATAAAATGAATAGTTTAATATTATAAAATAATATGCCTATATAAATCACCAATAGTATTAATTTTTTTTAAAAAAATCACTAAAACTAATCACTAACAAATAAAAACATAATTAGGTATTTCAAAAATTATTTATAATTACAATATATAATAGATATGGATATCATATGCGTGTGTGGTATGTAGGTAAATAAAATTTCTTGTATACCTAAACAGCAACACTACCGGAATACAAGCCCGTATACCGGGGAGAGGGAGGTTAGGGGTTCAACCTCCCAAAAATGTTAAAGTAGGTTTATATTTATAATATAACAAAGACTAACTACAAGTTCATGTATTAAAACTATTTTAACCGCTCCCTACGAAAATTGATCTCCTGAATACATGCTTGCCGGAACGTTTTACATTTCAGACCCATATTTGAAAATATGAATATAAAAGTATCTACCTACTACTATTAATATAATATGTCTATACTATGTACTGTATACGTATGTAATTTAAATTAAATATTTTGATTTGTTATTAAATTAACACTTTTTTAAAAAAAACTAGGTATTTTTAACTATTTTTCGTGCGAATATATTATATAAAAGCCACTGTCACGCACTTAAAAGTCTGAACTGTTATTTCCAAATATCTACCTATAGTTATCTAATAAGATTATTAACAATTGAAGGTCATTATATTATCAGGTATAGGTACTTTTAATCGATTTATTTTTCGTCTATAAATTTTAGATAATTTATAAAAATCATAGGCGGGGGGTTTTGAATTGATAGTAGCGGGTAAGTAGATATAACGATTTCTAAATATAAAAACAAAATAAATAAACCACTATAATATTATTGTTACCATTAATAATATTATTGGTCATTTATATCATTGTATATAGTATTTGATAGCATAGTAGGTAGTGATTACACTACTAATAGGTATTCATGAACATGACATATCTTATCTTTCGTAGTAAACTGTAGGTACCTGTCTATAAAAATAGTTATTAGTATTGTAGCTGTAGGTACCTTCCTATTTATAATCGATGTTATCAATTTGTTTTTATTTAATTCATAAACAAATATGCATTTTACGTATTTTACAAGGTATCATTTAACTTCATTCGATGTTTGTTTGTTTCATTGCTCGTTAGGGTTAAATTTTGTACCTATTTGATAATTAATCTACCTATCCACCTATTTTTCGATCTTCGATGAGATTGAGAGCATAAACTCGCAGGATGTGTGTAAACGGGTCGACATTAACTCGACAATAATATTATATAATATAAAGAAAAATTCTGAGCGATGTTCGGTTAAATATGCCGAGATTTTCACGATTTTTGTTAAAATTTAAACTTAAAACGCCTTTAAAAATCAACTGCTACATTATATGCTCAACTTGCTTTATTACCAGCAAATACAACTTGTGAAAAACACCGTGTTAAATTTGCAAACATTTCTGCTCGGTTAGTCGGTTAAAACTAATTTATCCTCATAAAATCGTAAAAAAAAAACGCGAAAATTTAAAATGTTTATAAATAGCTCAAAACCGCCAAAATGTTTTAAAATATTACCACATCTAGAAAATATACCTAAGTATTCTTTGAAAGTTTCAATTGTTGATGTGTCTAGATCATTTTAATCGAATTACAATAAAAAACAAAATTGAATATAACGGAAACCGTTAGGTTTAGCGTACATTTTCCCGTTTTTCTCACTATTATTAAGAAATCTACACGAAAGATTAAAAAATGGTCTCCCAATGCACCAACTAAACAAAAATTTTCTTATAGAAAAAAAATACCAGGTACACTTGAAGATTTCTGGTAGAAAAGTTGTTGACACATAAAAGAAAACCACATCACACTAAAACCAATAAATTCTCGCTGCGCTCAGAATAATAAAAAAAAATAAATAACAAAATTGTGAATCGAGATCAAAAGTTTTATCGTTTGTTTCAAGCCCGCAAATGAGAAATATTTAACTCTTATTGTAGGTAAGTACTTACATAATAATTAATCAATAATCGTACCGAATCAGTAATTTTTACCTACCTAAATTGCCTAATATATCTATGGTACCTGCATACTCGTAATTTGTATGGTAGTACCGTTGTGCTTGTGCGTGATGATGTGTAATGTGTTTAAAGGACTGTTCCGCGTGTCGCTGTATAAACAATAATATACTAGGTACCTTATAATATGTATGTATATATATTTTTTTTTTTATACAGTAATATCGATTTCGAAATGTGTAACCACCAACCGTGTAGGTACTGCACCATCGTCTAGAACATAATATTATGTAGTAAGGCCATGTGCTTCAGTGTGGATAACAATAATGGGTATAATAGTGATAACCCGAGACCGCGGTGTTAACCGTATTGCAGGTGTTTTTTTCATAACGGATTACTCGGTGATTTTTAATTAAATTGAACTCTATATAAGATTCTATGAAACATTAGTTGTGCGCGCCGACACACTATTGTGGCGATCGCGGTATAACGTAGGTAATGTTATGTTATTGTCCTTGGGGTTATTGGTCGAAATTTTGAAATAACAAATAATTATACAATTTAAAGATAATAAATAAATCATGACTAAATGCAATCATAATATTTATTAGGTATTCTATTTTCTTCGTTGCCCCCCTCCCCCGTAGTTTTTTTTATTTGTCGGCTTGACAAATAGTTGCACTTCGTACACACACCGGCACGCACTGGCGTGCACACGCTCCTTTGTACCATTGTGCGTCAAGTGCAAATCAGCTGTTCGGTGAAATCGAAATTGTCGTTCAGCGTTCTGGCGTTCAGTATCTTCGAATATCAAAACATTGTAGCTGTTGTTTATTACACTCGTGTAGTCATGCGTCGTAGGACTAGATATTATGATTACACTAAATAATAATCTAATACATTAAACAAATCGCATTTTAAACTCAAGTAGTCCAGTACTCCAGTAGGTATTTAAAAGTATTATTTTTTAGTATTGTATTAGGGTTAAAGTCCGGTCTAGTTGCTTGATTAAACTATCCGTGGAATGTATAATCAACTGTTTAAAATATACCTATTAATTTTTAAGTGTGTACACAACTCAGAATACCAGTTTATTATGGGATACCTAAATTATTTCATTTTTAATAATTAATTGTGTTTTTCTTTTTCGTTAATTTAGTGGTCGCCACAATATTACCAGCTTGAACATAGGATGAATTATTTAGGGAAATTCATTAGTAATTTTAGGCATGTTTACAATGAGATTAACCCAGCCACCTTAACTGGAGCCATCGATATTGTTGTTGTGGAACAGCCGGATGGTACATTTACATGTTCACCATTTCATGTTCGTTTTGGCAAGATCGGTGTACTACGTAGCAGAGAAAAAATAGTAAGTAAAATTTTGAATCTGTCTATATGTCTATACTTATATAGGTATTAAATAGTAGGTATATAACTTATAATATGTATGTACATTTATTTTGGATAATTTAATTTTAAATGTTTAATTATGATACTTGCCTTTTGTTTTAAAATTATTATTATATTACTTATAATAATTTATATAACTATAACTTGTAAAGTTTTAACATACTTATTTAGGTAATTCATATACTAGGTGTTTATTAAAAGTAAGAAAGTGCTTTAGAAAGTTAGCAACAATTTGCTCAAGTAGTTTAATTTAGTAAAATGAAGTTTTTGTGGATACATGTGTCAGTGTGCTTGTATGTCTCAGAAAAATTTAAATTAAAACATTTTATCTGATAGGTACTTATTTTATTTGGAATACGCACAATAATTGTGTGAACATAATTTTCAAAGTTATATCATTGATTTTTTAATATACAGATAAGCCATACTGGTATATTTAATTTAAAATGTAGTGTATGCATTTTAATTATTACTTAAATATAAGTTTTATCTGATTTAGTCTATTATTTTTTTTTTAACCTTAGTTATAAATTTAATATAATTCTGAATAAATAATCTTTTTGTTTATAGATAGATATATTTATAATGTAATAGATAAAATAAATAATTATAATTTGTATGGATATTATTTATGTATTTAGACAGCTTACCTACTTAATGTCTGACCTTTTTAAAAAAAACAAACTAATTACTCTTTTCATTAAATGTATACTTTTTTAACATAGGTAGTTGTTATTATTATTTTGTACTTATTTCTATCAAGAGTATGTACTTATGCATATTTATGTGCACATTATTTTAAGTTAATACCCACTTGTACAACAATTGACATTATTTTTTGTTTGTTTACAATGAATCATTTTTTAAATATTACATCACAGTTTTAGCATCTCAACTGGAAGACAAATTTTGTCTTCTGTTTATCCTAATAGCCAGATCTATAGTACTTTCCAATAATCAATAGAATAAATCTGTAAGTTTTCAGTGAAGATTCTGAAATAAACAATGAGTAGTTTCCATAATAGGATAGAAAAATGCTATCAGCGAAATAACGAGATAAATTTCAATGATACTATTTTTAAAACCCAAAATGTTTGTCATTCATTCTTAAATGGCCAATATTTTTTTCCACATTTATTTTTTATGTTTATTTGGCTACCGTGTTAGTGTTATAAGTAATAAAAATTATTATAACTTCCTGTTACTCATTAAAAAAAATGTGTAATTTATTATTGAAGTTCACAATGCAGGTTAGGAAAAAATTTACTTATTACCTAAATAATTGTTTTATTTCTACCCGCCAAGTTCTTCTATTATATAATTAGTGCTAAGATTCGTACAACTGTGTGAAGTTATTAGGAAATTAAAATGTTGTTAAGTAGTTATCCCTCAACAAAGTTGTTTAGAATGAATGAATCAATCACCTATTTAACTATATTTTATTATTAGTGTTATGCACTTCCTCTACCCTAAATTATTGTTGGAATAATGACTCGTAACTTTTTTTATTTAATTTCCGAGTGAATGTGCTACATTCATGCATTGTTTTACATTTACTTAGGTTGAAATTGAAATTAATGGAGAACCTGTTCAACTTCATATGAAACTTGGAGAATCAGGTGAAGCCTTTTTTGTTGAAGAAATATCAGAAGAAGTTGATATTGAAACAATACCACCTCATTTAGCATGCTCACCAATACCAGATGATGAAGAGTAAGAATTTCTAATATTTCAAATATTAATGTGGTTTTAAATATTAAATAAATGTATGTAATACAATTTTAGACTGAAGACTATAGAATATGCTATTAACTCTGAACAAGCTGGCCTCAAAACATTTTGTGCTGAAACTGTTGATAGTGGTAATCAAGATTTTCAATCATCAAAATTTCGACCAATTGAAGATTCTCCACACAAACCACAAATGCGTAAACGTCGTCGTAAAAAATCTATGATCAAACGAAAAGTCAAAGATGAAACCAAAAAACTTGGAAATACATTTGGTTCATGTAATCTTCCAGCTATTTCTTGTTTAATAGATAATGATGAGCGTTCCCAAGAACAATATTTGGATAATGATTTACATTTCTTTAGTGACACAGATGCATCTCCAAGTTCAAAGTAAGTATATTGTTTTAAAAATATTTTACGAGATGCATATATATGTTTCTTTTGTTTTAGTTCTGGTGATGTAAAATATAATTGTTCAACTGTCCAGTCTGATACTGAGTATGAACTTCAACAAAGATCAAGAGATTCTGCTGTTGAAAGTCTTATTGGTACTTCAGCTACAAATAAGTCTGATTTAAATAATAGTTCTAGTGATCATCAATCTTGGCGTTGGGGGGAATTACCTACCCCACCTGCTCGTCGTAGTAGTTTAGATTCTGATGATCCAAAGTCAAATTTACAAGAAGTTAACAAAAAACAAGAAGCTGCTAATCAAAGATCAATGTTAGCAAATATGTTGGGATTCATGAAAAAAACTAAACACATTCGTCATAACTCTTCTGAAAATGGAGGGATATATTTGGCTGATTTATGTGCTGATCAATTAGATCCTAAAGTTTTAGAATTATATTTGTATAATCAAACATCACCCAGACAGGAAGAAGGTAAAGCAACTGATGAAGATGATGTGGAGTCTGGAAGAGGTGCTTCGCTTTCCCATTCACCTACTAGTATGGATAGAGAAGGACCAAAATCAATTGATAGTGATTTTGATGAAAAATTTGTTCAAAAGTTAGTAAGAAATTTATTTTTAAATGTATGAAATATAAATAATAAAATATATTAACTGGTGATATAACTTTATAGTTCACCGTGTGAAGTGTCTATTTCATTATGTGGAGGTTTAGATCATTTAATAAATGATGATTACATAATTGAAGAGAAATTTTCCACACATCAGATTTCTTACGAAGAATTTACATCAGATTTCAACAATCTCGTGAAGAATCCTAATTTAGTGGTGCGCATAAATAAAAAATATTATAGTTGCCAGACTGCTTTACCTCATTTGATCTCAATAGCTGCTTATCAAAAAATATTACCTCAGGTATAACTTAACTATGCCATTAAAAAAGCCATTATTATTCACATTTATGATTATTATACATTTTTTTTCTTTCTTGTATATCTAATAGTTAATACATGTTTATCAATTATTGTATAGAACGATGAAACTAAGATACAAGAAGAAAACACTAAAGGTCTTAATCGAGGTTATTCGTCATGGTTCAACTGGAGCCGTGCCAGTAAAGATAAAAAGTCAATTTCACCAACAGGCAAGTTAAAACTTAATTTATCATGTATTTATTTTGATTTTAGTTTAAAAAAAATAACATAAATGAGTTATTATTTAGTTCTATTTGGTAAACTTACAAAATAAAATCATGTACTGTAGTACTATAATATAATTTTCCAATAAAATATTTAACTTGGTTTTTTTTAGTTTAATTTAATTTATTTACAGAAGGTAATGTTAACATTACAAAAACTGATGGTTCCAATATTTTGTCAATACAACTAATACAAAATAGTGATATAAACGAATGTGTAAAATCAGAAATTGATGGAAAAATTGAAAATGAATTGGTAACATCTAATGATACTTACGTGTAAGTTTATCTTTTAAAAGGAAATATTATTTTTGTCTTATTTTATAAATATTTATATTTAGCCCAAGACAACGGTGCTACAGTTCAACAGATTCTGAGCTTGAATTAGAAACAACTAAACTTTCACTGAAGTCAAAGGATAAGAATGATATTTGTAGAAAAACATTGAGATTAACTTCTGAACAAATTGTAAGTATTTAAAATATAAACTCATACTAATAAAAATTGTAACATCCTTATTTAATATTGATTTTTAAATTTCTACCTTGTTTTTTTATTAATTATTTGAAAAATCAATGTGAGATATAATTTATTTATACTGTAAATACACTGTAACACAAATTTTAAACTGTTCATCTATAAATTTAACTATTTTAAAAAAAAAATTATAACATTGATTTTTCAAAAATTGTTGAAGTTTTTACAAATTATCAGTAGTTTTCTTTTCAGTTATTACAATTTGAATAAGTATTTATACAAAATTATATTATATTAACTCATATAAAATAATTTTTGTAATTTTGCATGCTCTGACTACTAATTAAGTTTAAAAAAAAAATGTAAAATATAAATTACTATACCTATATAATAATTAAAACCACCAAACATTTTACAAAATAACTTGAATTCTTTTAATAGAATATTAAAATTTAAACTTTTGCATTTTAAAATCTCCCACCTAACCTATAAAAAAATTAATTTTTTTCAGGCAAAATTAAATTTAAGAGAAGGTTCTAATGAAATTGTATTTAGTGTAACAACTGCTTATCAAGGTACTAGTCATTGTAAATGTTTCTTATTTAAATGGCGATATGATGATAAAATTGTTATATCTGATATTGATGGCACCATTACTAAGTAAGTATATATGGCAATTTTTGTTTTTAAGAAATTATAATATATTTATTTAATAATCATTTTAGATCTGACGTGCTAGGTCATATACTTCCTATTGTTGGTAAAGATTGGGCTCAAAGTGGTGTTGCCAAATTGTTCACTAAAATTAAAGATAATGGTTACAAATTATTATACTTGTCGGCTAGAGCTATTGGCCAATCCAGAGTAACTAGAGATTATTTAAAAAGTATCAAACAAGAAGATCTATCTTTACCTGAAGGACCTGTGTTGTTAAATCCAACTAGCCTATTGAATGCATTTCATCGTGAAGTTATTGAGAAAAAACCTGAAGAATTCAAAATTTCTTGTCTCAAAGATATACAAGCATTATTTCCAGTTGACAATAAACCTTTTTATGCCGGTTATGGTAACAAAATAAATGTTAGTTTTCAATATTAATAATTTTTTATATGAGAATTTACTTATTACTAAATGATTATTTATTAATATAATTTTGTTTTAATACATGTTTAATAACTATTAGTGTTTATGTTGTATTATATTTTTAAGATGATGATGTTTTACCATCATCTAATATTAATTAAATAATATCTCATTGAATACTCTGTATCTTAATTAATATTTTAAATCAAAATTATTCTTATTTTTTTTAAAGGATGTTTGGTCTTATCAAGCTATCGGTATACCAATATCAAGAATATTCACCATAAACCATAAGGGAGAATTGAAACACGAATTAACTCAAACGTTTCAGTCTTCGTAAGTGTTGAATTAGTTTATATTCTTCTTTTCTTTTGTTTTCTATTCATTTATAAAAATGTCTTATTCAGTTATTTTGGGCAGAGTTGTATTGTTAATGATCTTTTTCCGGTTTTGACCTGCGGCGATGACGTTACAAGTCGTATTGAAGACGTTTGTAACGTCATCAGTAGTGGTGGGGATACCATTAGTACCACTTCTTTAAAGTGTGAAACATTTGGTAAGGGCCCATAATTATATTTGGGGTATGCATGAGATATTAATTTATATGCTATCAGTTGTCAATTTACTATGATAATTTAGTGAATCATTAAATTAGTAACAGAATTCAATTTTTTTTCAAATTTAATAAGTTGATTGAGTGTTGGTGGAGTCACTCAATAATGTATGCATATTTAAAATTATGTTTTAATCTCTTTCTGAAAGTTAATAAATAATCAAAACTAACTCTTCATTCATTCATATTAACATTTTCATACCATATAATTTTAAAAAACATAACAATTATTATGTGATTTATATTATTAACTTCAATGTCTCGTTATCTAAATTCAGTAGCTTATTCAAATCATTGAGGAAGTTTGTCAGGTGTATTTGTTTCATGTGTCTGAATTTTGATATTATTAAAATTACTTTAATTTTATATTAAGTAAAACTAGATTACATTTTATTAATGCTTATCTTACATTTTTATATATTTTGGTTATGGTTTCAACATTAAACAATTTTATAAATTGTCTATAACATTATAAGAGTCATTGATTTTAGTAGAAACTGAGTTAATTGCATCCACAAATTATATGTTTTATGTTTGTGTTAATAAATTTAATTTTAAATATTAATATCTTATTGCAAAAAGAGCAAACTTAGTAATTGATATCTAGTTGTTGGTTGAATATAAAAATTAACAAAACTTAATTGTGCCATATTTTTTCAACAAAATAAATAAATTATAAAATTAAATGACATTATATTCTATTATTGACAATTTCTTTAATATCACAAAAAAAAGCGCAGAGACTGCTGATGATTGTGCTACTATTATAGGTTAGAAGTAGGCGGGAAATTTAATGTATCTCTGTATGCAACCTAACCTTTGTTAACTAAAAAAAAGATTTTGAGTGTAGTTCAGTTAATAGTGTTGCTTTTTCAATAATATATATATATGCCACATTATGGTAAAATAATTACATATGAATTATCTATTTTCTTTAACTAATAGTTTAATATTGTATCTATTTTATCGTTTTTTACCATGTTTTCCCCATTTATTTTCCGGTTTTCACAATTATTATAAAAACTACTTAGAAAATCAAAAAATTAATTGCTTAATTACAAGATGGAAAATTCAACAAAAAAAAGTGGACATATTTTGATTAAAACAATATCTCTGGTAGAAAACAGTATGTTAAAATGAAAAACAATGAAATTAATAACGTTGTGGTGTACCATAAATATTTGCCATTTTTACATATTTTGATTGATAATAATATTTAGACTCTTGTTTTGAAAAATATGTAGGGTGCACCATTTTTGTATTAGTGTTTAAACATCAAATTATTATGAAAATTTAAAAATTGCAGCATTTAGAACATGTTAAACTAATTTTTAGTTCATGACAATTTGTCATTGTATACAGTGTTGTATATTAAATTACTGTAAAATGTTTCTTACCACCCCAACAGAGTATACTCATCAGTAGTATTAACCCTTTTTTTTGTTTGTTTTTAGATAATTAAACTGTATCTCTGATAAATAACAGTTTGACAGTTACACATTTGTTTCTCTTGACTAAATTGATTATTGAACATATAAAAGTTTAATTCCAGGCTAGTTGGCCTTGCAAAATACAAACCAGGACATGACAACCCTAAGTTAACTGATAAACATATTTTGATTAGTCTACAGTGTAATCGAAATAATTTATAGAATATTATTTAAATTATTAATTAATTATAAGCCTAATATTAATTTATCTTGAAAATTTCCAATGGATTAAATTAGATATGTAAACAAAAATCAAATAAATTGAAACTTTTTTTTATTAAAAATTATAGTGGTTTTTAAAACACAAAGCAATAAATGTGTTTTCACTCTCACTATTGAATTAGCATAATTTAATCTAAGTTTATCAAATAAATATTTGATTCAACTACATATTATACAATTGTTTTTTATTATATCCTAATTAAATTACAATATAATATAATAGAGTGGCCAGTTTTATTTGATAATTAGTTTAAGTGTTGGTTTTTTCTTCTATGTCAATGATTCTATTTGTATTTTCAAAAATTATTAAAATGTGAATTTATTTAGTATAACATATATGCCTTTTTTTTCAGATATACATATATGAGTACAATGGTGGATGAAATGTTCCCTGTATTACCAATGCAAGAATTGGACTATAATCAATTTATATACTGGCGTGATCCAATTCCTGATATTAAATAAAGGAAATTTACCATTCCTATTTTGAAATTATATTTAAATATTTTAAACCGTATAAATATATATATATTTGATATTTTACATACATAAGATTGCCTTAGTGACTTATTTTTCCTGTCTGATAGTAGTATATATTTATAATTACTTCTATATTTATCATAATCTCATCAATGTATAAAAATGAAATATCAAGAAAAAACAATGACATTTATTCAATTTTTGTGATATATAGATATATGTAAGTGTAATCAAATAGTAATTATATTTTGTAATTTATTTTTTTTGTGATAATAATTAAATTTACTATTTTTATTGGACTAGAATGTTATATTAATAATTTGTTGTTCAATAGTCTGATGTATTGTCACTATTGTTTTGCATTTTGAAATACTCTTCGTTCAACTCCTGTAAATTCCTTTCCAAACTTGCGACTTCATCAAATCGGTGTGCTTCCTTAGCTTGTTTGATATAATTTTTTATTATGTTCATCTGCTCCACCATGGGATTATCAGAATTTACATTAGCATTAGTCACAGGACTCCATCCATCTTCAAGTTTTAAAATTGCTCCCTATTTAAATAATAATAAATATAAAATACAGATATTGTAAAATGTTACTTCACATACTACTAATATATTACATTTTTTGATGTTCTATTTTGTTTATTTTTAACTGATAGATTATTTTTATCCATACACAAGTCTTGACCATTGCGAAGGCGAGCATCTAATGCTTCACTAAAAATTAAGTATTAAGTAATTTAGGATTATAATATATAATAATATATTGTTAAATATAATAAACAGATATGATAAATTTATTTTATGATATTATACCGTTTTCTTTTGGCAATTTCTTCAATTTCCTGGTGAGAAGGAAGAGCGGGTATTGCAAGTACTGTTGATCGAACATAATGAATCATAGCCAATTTAATATTTTTGGAAGTAGTCTTTGATGAATTTGAATTATTTTCCATTTTCAATATCCTGTTACTGAACAATAATTTTTAGGTTCTAGATCAATACAATTTAAATAATTTACTCATGATTGTTTTGAATTAAACAAATTGAAATAAAACATTAGTGTGAATAAAAAAAATTACTAACAATTCTTAAAATAAATTGACTGCCTAACTTTGGGCATTTGTAAATATTTTGTTTTGATGGGTAATAATTAGTATTGTTACAAACCCTGATTTTTAAGGTCAAACTAAAATTTTCTTAATAATTAATGAACCTGACTGAACTAAACTTACACATTTTTAATTGAACCCTAACCAAACCAAACTTTTAAAATATTATAACTTGAATTTGAACACTAAAAAGTAATAAGGTCATGCTGTGATTTGATGGAAGAAGTTTTATATTTATATAAAATTTAAAAAATAAAGTGCAATGATATATGAGACCCACTTATACGAGAAAATAAGATTTTTTTTCACAGAACATCATATTGGTGACTGCACAGAATCGGCATCAAATTATTGGGTATTTAGTTCGGTTTGATTATTTGCAATTATCAGTTAGATTATTGAACTGAACATCCCAATTTGATTTGGTTAGAAAATATAATATCTAGTAATAATACATCTAAGTAAGCTATATATTTTTTTCAGATAACCAAGAAGTCAAATTTAAAATTTCTGTACACATATGTATATTACCGAGTTTTGATGCTTATTTTGCTTCTGTTTAGGGATATTTTAACGGCAAATGAGTATTTAAGTGTTTATATAAATATTTTTAAGAGCATAACATTGTGCTTTTTAGAGTTACGAATTACAAACCCCGTTTATGATTAACTATTTTATGTCACATTGTTATAAAACAATTAGAAAAATCTAAGTTGGTGAAAAGTTTGATTATTTTTTTAGATTTTAGAATTTACAATAAAATATATTACACATTTTAATTACCTAAGAGCATCTATTGTTTCAATCAATTTTACAATATCACTTCTAATTTTATTAGCTTCGAACAAATAAGATAATTCTCCTTCTCTAAAAAAAATAAAAAAAATAATGATCATTATATAATTGATTATCTTATGTTAAATATTATACTTGAGTAAATTATACACTTGGTTAAATTTAATTAACAGGTCATTTTCAATTTTATTTTTACATTCCATGATTTTATCGTAATAATCACACATAGGTGGTTTTTGGTCACGGTATTTGATTTGCTCCCGATTTTCTAAGACTTGTCCACAATGAATACATAAACGGAAACTTGGTAAACTCTGACTTGCAAAATCCATAGGATTTTGAATAGTTTCATTTATTGTTTCGTCTATCAAAATAAAATTATAATTTAAAAATAACTAAAACAAATAACAGCTAGTTAATATTTGTCAAAAAAAAAAAAAATATATATATATATGTATACACAAACATGCTTTAGATAGTGGTAAAAAACAGCTGCATTCATGACACACAATAGAACCACACAATCTGCAATGATGTTGTCGCCTGGTGATATTAAACGACTTGGTGCAATCTGGACAACGTTTTACATCTGTACCATCCAACCATTGTACTATAGTTTTTTCATGTGCTTTAAATTAAATGGGACATAAATATTACTAGGTTATTATTTCATTATGACGTCAGCAAATCAATAAATATTTAAATAAATATCTAGTGCTTAAATTATTGAGAACAAAAAAAAATTTTACGATGACAAAGAAAAATTATCACTAGTACCTATATTGAATTCAGTTTACTTAAAAATGTGTAAGTAGTATGTACCTTAAAAAATATAATAGTATAGAGACACATTTTTATTTTTTTCATAAAAACTAGTGAAGATGCCAAGTCCCCTTGTCCCTCATATCAAATTGAACATCTTTCCTACCTTTTCGTTTATTAGGGTCCTGAGGTAGGTTGCACAGTAATTTTTCAAGCCGTATGACCGTTTTATTAGTTTCCATTACAAAATGTTCCACCCATTTATTACGACAGTTCTTAAAGTGCTGAATATGAGATTTGACTTCTCCTAAAAAAAAATAATAACATAAATATAAAAACGAATTACTTAAAATATAACAAACCTATTTCTTGTGGTTCCCAGACATAGCGTCGTTCTTCTTTTTTCACAATATCATTATTTAAAATTTTTTCTTTTGCTTTACCAAATAATTCTAGTAAATAAATTTAATTATTTTTCAATACAATTTTGTATAAGTACTTAGAAATGTATTTATTTTTATATATAATACCTTTAAACGATTTGACCAAGTCTTGATCTTCACCATGAGCTTCTTGAAAATGTAAAAATAACTTAAGATCTAAACCAAAGTCTACTTTGCATATGGGGCATAAGAAACCTTCTAAAACTATATTTTCTTCGGCGAATTCAGTCATATTAGACACAAGACAGTCATAGAGATCTCTCATATAATAATTTTAGTTTAAATATTACATTTTCTTTTTTCAAAGAATTCATAATTATTTATTATATTCATTATCTACGTACATCACGCTAAAAATATTTGATAAGAAAGCTCAGTGGTTCCTAATTTTGTATCTAATGTTGAACCTATTCAACCACAGAATAGATAAAATTTGAACAGTAGGTTTATTATAAGTTGTAAAATAAAAAAATTGAGTGTAATTCAGTTTTTTTTGTTTTATATTTTAATATCGAATTTTGATCGTAAATAATATAATTTTTTAAACCATGTATAAGTGAATTTCACTTGTTTTCGTTATCAATGGTTTAACGTAGCTTATAGATATAATTTAAATAACCAAGTATCTTACCTTCCCAAATACCCACCTATAACAGTGGAGCACCCATCAACAGCATCAGCAGTTTTTTAAAATTTGTCTATATATTGCCTATCTAAATTTGGAATTTCAAATTTCTAAAAAAATTGTATACCATAAAACCGGATTACTTGGCTCTAAAAAAAAAAATTATATCAATTATAAATGATCATTTTAAACACGGTTTAAGACCTAATAGTCCAAGACCGTGGTTTAAGATATACCTAAATATCTCTAATATATCTTAAATCTTGATTATAAGTAGACATTTATGATAAACAAGATTTATAGTATTTTTATTATTATTTCTGACATTACCAATTTTTTGAAACGTTACAAACATCAATCAATAAATTTCCCTCCATTTTATACTGGCATGATAAAAATTGGTATCGCAAATACAAAAAAAAACACTGTCAATAGATTGTCCAAAATCTCGGCGACTTTATGTTAAAATGTTAAATGTTATATTATTATATTTTACATATTACGTAAATTAAAAACCACTATAATGGTCTATGGGTTATAATTTATTTATTACAAACAAATTTTAATAAAGCTAAAAACCGAAAATGTCCGATTTTTGGTATAACTGCACCAGATAATTTTATATTTTTTTACCTTCAATACTTAACAAAATGAAATTTTCTAAGTAATTGTTAATATTTTATTTTAATTTACCAAACGTGTATAAAAGGTCATTGGGTTCCAGGTCTTATCATGATTACATCAAAAGCAAAATAGATATTATCATTGATTTACGTCATACATAAACATATTATGTATAATCAATGGTATTATTTCGTGGTAGGTTCATGAATTGAGTGAATATACAAAATGAACATGAACTGAAAAAAAGTGACATTATTATTTTAGAAATTTTGTTACTTAGGCAAATCAAAAAATGACCTCTCTAACGTACCTCCCCAGTCCGATTTCCTTTTAGAAAAGACGCTACACTTAAAAATCGGAGCACGATTTCTGGTAGAAGAGTTATCCATAGAAAAAAAATAAACATTTTTGTAAAACAATAAGCTTGTAATAGCTACGTAACCCATAGTCCTGTGCTTATATACTACTAATCAAAAGATTTTTTTTTTAAGCAAATTAAATAATGATAAATATCCATGTTTGCATAATTTTATTAATTTGTGCACATTTTAATCTAAAATATCCAGTTTAGCACAGCATTGTATTGTATTGATGTTTTGCTCTAAATTTTTACTGTTATATTTGATAAAATATTTGTAATATAATAAGGCTGTATAAAACGATGATAGTTAAACTATTGTACCAGCCAATTATTTTTGAGAATGGTTAGTCACATTACACGGGAATATACAATTTAAAGTTTAGAATGTTGGCAACCTATTGTAGTGGAATGTAGGTAAAAAAGCCAATTTATTCATTATATTATAATTATTTAAATTAAGTGTTATTTATTGTATTATTAATTCTATAATAATAGCAATAGCATTTTATACTTTTATAATAGTAATGAATGTATCATTATTATTGTTTACAGATGCCTTATAAAACAATTTTTGAATGTCGATTGTATAATGTGTATTTTACTATCAATTTTATTTAACTTATTTTAAACTTCAGTAACTTATCTGGTGGAAAAATTAATGGTTGGTCCGGGAAAAACGAAAAAAAAAATTAAAAGTACAAATTATACACAGTGCCTTTTTTTTTTCCCATGGCTTTTGTTTTGATTACCATTGTAATGAACTTGCTGTCTTATCATTTTTCTGACAACTAGAACATTTCTACTCTATTCAGATCACAGAGTAATATACTCTAAGTTCTCTATGATTCAGATTAATAACAGATCGTCTTCTCGCATCGCATCGATTCGTTAATTATTCGGCAATAAAATTATTGTTTATGATCGTGTACCGTCACCGATCTCGCTGCCGTGTATACAGCGAGTTATAATGCCGTAGTGGGGATGGATGCGCAAACAACGACGTGTTTTCGACCGTTGTTTGGATTGTTCTGAATAGAGTATTATAGTCTTCGGGGTTATGTGAAAGGTCCACCTTGGTAATGAACACGATTAAAAATATACTTTATAGATAAGATATAAATACTTTATAAATCTTTAATTGTGGTATTGAATTTATGATCATTTTAGTTTTTGATTTCGCACATTATTTTATTCAGTTTCAGTAAAGTAACAGAAAATCTATTTTAATTTATGTTGGTTAAACTGTGACCTATTTATCATTTTATCTTTTTGTATTAAAAAAAAAAAACAAATTTCTTATACGCATATATATATATTTATTCATTTTTACCAATGCCTAATATATTACCAACTTTTTTCTCACTTTCCAAGTGTAATAATTGTACATTTTGTTTATTATGTTGACTTATTTATAATTGTATATTTTTATTTTAATATGCCTTTCCTATATTAAATAGTTACACTATTGAATGAATTTGAACTCTTGTAATATTTTTTCATAAAGGACAATAACATTATTTCCGAGGTAATTGATAATTATCAATTTGTATAATTTACTTAACTAATCTTATATATTTTTACTATTTGACTTAAATTTCAAGTATTATATTCATTAATTAACCTTTATTTAAATGTTCCAGAATGGCACAAACTAGGCGTGTTCCAATATTTGGTTCTCGACCACCTTGTGCATATCAATCCCGCCTTGATGAACGTAGTGCACAATTGAAAGCAGCCCGAATGGAGAAATCAAAAAAATCTGATAAACCAGAAGATTTTGTATGCTATGAAGATTCTGATGATGAAGAAGAAAGTACAATGTCATTGTGCACTATGTTAAATTCTTCATACAATTTTGTTGACTATATAAGAAACAGAGAATATGGAATGAGAGAGTATCATTCAGTCAATCCACATCATGGTACCCGGCATATCTTGACGCACGATTTATTCAAAGAACAATCTATACCATTAAAAACAATGAATAAAGTTTTTTGTTCACAATGGCTTAGTAGTAAACAAATTGTCTTTGGCACAAAATGTAATAAAGTAAGTAAAACAGCTGCAGTTTACTTACATTAATTCTTTTAATGTTTAAATTAAAAGAATTCTGATTTTTGGTAAAACTTATAATTTGTCAAATAAAAATTTGATATTTTAGTGTTTTTCTTTTATTAATAATATTTTAATTGAATAGATTCAATTGATATTAGGTAACTACCTATTTAATATTAACTTATTAAAGTATTAGCTAGTAGCTACCTATAACTAAACTAATTTATTTTAATGAAAACCATATGTTTCTAATTCAATTAGTGTCGAATATTAAGGAAAGGGATTATGTGGTTCTTTGTTTATCATGACCTTATTAACATCAGCTGCGTTAAATAGTAATTGTATTGGCCCACTGAGTTTTAGGTTTTTCATTTTCCCAAAGGATATAAAAAACAGATAAAAGTGACATTAGCTCAATTTAAAATGAGGATGATTTTGTATCACTAACAAGTTCAAGTCTATAATTCTGAGTTTGCAGCTAAGTGTCATACTATGTTGTTTTGTGTTTTCTTTGTTTTTGCATTTTACAATATTTTTAACTAATCCATTGAAATTATATATGCAGCAAATCTTGATGTTCTAACTTTTAGATTCTGAGTGGAGCGAAGAAGCTTATAAATCTTACAAAAATGTTTATTTGTTTTATTTTTTCTATCTGTTAACAACTTTTCTACCAGAAGTTTTACTCGGATTTTTACATGTAGCACCTTTTCTGAAAGGAAATCAGTGTGGAAAGTTACTCTATAGAGGTTTATCATCAAATTTAAAAAACCAAAAAAAAACAGGAAAATATAAGAAATGTAGGTATTAGTTCAAATACATTACGGTCTTCTTATTTTCTATGCAAAACTTGTCTACCATCACTTTTGCTCCAAGTTCTAATAATAGCAATGTTTCTAAAAGAAAATTTCATTAAGAAGGTACTTTAAACTGATTGTTTTTCGATTTTCTCCAGAGTTTTCTTATTCAATTTGAAAAACCAAGAAAAACGTAGGAAAATTGGTACAACATTAAACTAATTTTATTAAAGAAAATATATAAAGCCTATTTAATTATTATTTTACTATAAGATGACTTATATATATTGTTGACAAAGCATCACTATCAACTGAACTCCGCTCACAATTGTTTTTTCATAAGCAATGGTTTATCGTTACTTACAGGTATACATGAAATTATATATAACAGTGGCTACAGCCACCCCATTATCCTAGGACGTCTTTTGTTGTATTGTTTATTTAATATGAAATATCAATAGTTATGAATAATACAATTTAACTGTTAATACTGTGTTTGCTCAATTGAGCGATCTATTCTTATCCCCAAAAATTTAATCCTTGGTTTCCAATGTGACGTGAGGGTGTACTTATCATTTTACCATTTAAGATATATTAAAATATTTTTTTTTTATTTTTAGCTAATGGTTTATAATGTTAAATCACATGAGCTGGACCAAATACCACCAATTAAAGGACGTATCCATGAGTCAGCAGATTATCAAAGTGGTATTCATTCATTAAAAATGAACCCATCTCGGTCATTATTAGCTACAGGTGCATATAATTCAAATGAAATTGCTATATACAGGTTGCCCACATTAGATCCAATTGTTTTAGCTGAGGTATAATTGAATTTTTAAGTTAATTTTTTTGTTGTAAATAAATAATTAATTTAAATTAATATTATATTAGGGGGCTCACAAAGATTGGATATTTGACATAGAATGGTTAGATGATGAATTTTTTGTCAGTGGATCTCGCGACACTAAGCTTGCTCTATGGCAAGTTCAAGATCAATATGAAGAACAGTATGATGCTGATGGTGATCTCATACAACCTGTAACTCGATTTATTGAACCTACCGTAGTAAAAAGCTGTAAAACGGCACAAAAAATCCGTGCAATCACATTCAATAAGAATTTAAAAGAAATGGTTACATTATCATTAAATGGATATGTTCATATTTGGGATGTTGAACGCTTCAAACAAGTGATTACAATTTTAATATATTATACATTATTACTTATAATAGTTATACATTTTTTGAATTCTTTATTTTAAAATGTTTAAATAGTGAAATAAAATAATATTTGACCATAAGTAAATATTTATATTCTTAGCAAAAACCATATTTGGTTAATATGATTAATGTTAAAAATAAATATAGATATTAAATGGTTAGAAAATATAATGCTCAATGCTACATTGAATTATATATCAAATGTGTAGGTTGTAGTAGGTCAAACCAAGCATGCATCTGCTAGACAAACAGCTCGCGCAAATCTGCCAATGATTAGTATTTTTGTTAATAAAACTGAACTTTATTTAAGTTTTAGTTTTGAAAAATTAGTCTGTGTTTTGTTATGTGGGTATTTAAACTAACACTACTGATATTTTTTGGTATTGGTTCAGTATTAATTAAGCTTGCCCCATGGTTAGTAAGTTCTTCACAGGTGTATACAATAACAATTACTAATATCTCGCAAGTGTATCTGCTGATGCAAAAGTTCAGAAACATATAGAATTAAAAATAATTTTATTTTTAATATTTTCTAGATTTTAGACCACTTCTCATTCCTCAATTTCCTGTGTTTAATAAATTTATTTTTGAAAAAAAAAAAGCATAGAATGTCAAGTTGTCCTACTTAATTGCAATAATTATTACACATTTTAGTATTTAATATGTTTTTTGTCTTACAAAAAAAAAAAAAATTTACATTTATTTTTAAATCCATTATTTAACAATATTGAGAATATGACATTAATTTAAAATATATATTTTATAAACTTTTTAGATTAATAGTAAATAATTTTCAATTTAGTATTTTATTGATATTGATATATATTTTAGATTTTGAGTGGAATGAAGAATCTTATGGTTTTACAATGATGTTTATATTTTTTTTTAGACAGACAACTCTTCTATTAGAAATTTTAATTTGATTTTTAAGTGTTGTACCTTTTCTTAAAGGAAATCAGATTGGGAAGGTATTTAAAGGAGGTCAGTTTTTTTAATTTTTCTATGGGTTTTCTCAATAAATGAGAAAACATAGGAAGAACAGGAAAATAATTTACAATAATAAATATTATTAAAAAAATGTATAATGCCTATGTATTTATTTTACCATAATATAACATATATATTGTTGACCAAGCAACGCTATCAACTGAACTCCATTCAGAATCATTTTTCGTTTGTAATGGTTTATTGTTGCTTACAAATATATTAAATTTCCTCTCTACTACCTTCCTAACTTATTATCTACAACCGATGTGCGAAGTATGTCCGTCTTATTTCATTATCCATTTTACTTTATAGAGATTTTCAAGAAGATTATCATCTTGCCAAGATAATGTCTGCATGGCAATGAAAAGTGATAGTAGTTTATATGCTATAGGGTGTCGTTCGTATACATTACTGCTTGATTCAAGAACGTTGCATACGGTAAAAAAGATTCCTGCAAGATATAGTGGATCTGGTTTGTATATTTAATGTCTTTAATCATAACTTTTCATAAGTAATTATATTTATTTAAATTTCAAAACATCTTAAATTAATCTGTAAGCCTGTCAAGAATATAATTTAATTTAATATAGTAGTGTTTTTTCTTTTTTTTGTTACATTTATATAACTTAAGATAGGAAATTAATTTTTTTAAATCACATAAGTACATTGATTTTAGAGTAAACAGATTAGCTGTGCTGTACAAAATAATGGCAAAAATTATAAATTAGTTTTCTGCTGGCGATTATATGGTACCTTTTTATAGTGTAAATGGGCAGGATATAGATCATACCTCACATCTACTACACTTTAACCAGATTCAATATTGTTTACTAATTGTTCAATAGCTTGGCTTATCTGTATATTATAAAGTCAATCAATGGTACAACTAATAAATACTTTTCCTAATATTAATAGTTATTAAACTACAGAGTAACTGTTTAAACTTTTGGATATATTTAGAAAGAAAAAAATCTTATAGACATTAAATAATTCTATTTTAATTAATTTTATTTCAGGAATAAGATCTTTAAGTTTTCAAGATAATATAATCACAATTGGAACAGGTGTTGGTGTTATAATGTTCTATGATATAAGGACTGGAAAATACTTAGAGTCTAGTATTAATTCAAGTAGAGCAGTTGTATTAAAAACAGGTCGAGGTTATGTTGTGAGTGTTATAATTTGTAAATCATTTTTTATCAATTTATTTTACTTAATGTTAAATTTTTAGTATCCCGATGAAGATTTTATGATTGACCAGAGTTATCAACAAGTGAAATATACACCAGCAATTTATACACATTGCTATGACTACTCAGGGACAAGATTATTTTCCGCAGGAGGACCATTGCCAGCTAATTTATGTGGAAATTATGCTGGCCTATGGCAATAATATTATTGTATTTTATTATTTAAATCTAGTTAGAAATATTCTCATACTAAATCAACTATACTTGCATGGAATAATTTTTTTTTGTAATATTTTGTGTGACATTCCTCAGGTCATTAGAATGTTAGTGCTAAATATTGAGTTAGGCAGTTGTTGAAATTAATTGTATCTATATAGTTATAAATATTCTATTAATTGATTACATTATTTGAATACAATAAATTGAACTTTTTAAAGTTATAATATTATGTTGTAGGAGAAAAATTAAGACTATTTTACTGGATACAAGTTATTGATGTACTTAAGCTAGTGCAACTAAACAAAAATTTTTTACTTTTAATGTACTTATAAAATAATGTAAAATAAATTAAAATAGTTATTTAATACCGTAATGTAAAAATCAATTATCCTATTTCAAGAGTAAAATAGAGTATAGGTTGGTCTTTATAATGGTCCCTCTATTTTTTTCTTTACTATTAAGTCATTATAAAGCAGTGACAGTGTAAATTGTTTTTTGAGAATTCAACAATTTTAAATTGATTAATAGTATCCTGGTTTCATTATTTGAATATGTTCAACTTGTGTTTTCTATCAGAAATATTGCTCCAGTAGATAAACGATAAGACACCTTTTTTGTTGCATTTTCAATCTAGTTGGTGAACAAGAAAGTTGTTTTTTGATTTTATTTGAAGTTTTTTTTAATAAATGAGCAAAACCGAAAACAAATTTAGAAAGTACAGGAAAATGTATAAAAATAATGGTTTTATTATTTTTAATTTTGTTTTTAGTGTATATTTGTTTAATGTAATATATTCATAGACTTGACAATTTAAGAGAAAATTTGTATTTGATTTTTCTAGATGTGGTAAAATTTTCAAAATATTTGATCTATTTTTGAGCTAATTATAGACATCAATTTTGCAATTTTTGTAAGTAATTTTTAATTGATAAGTGCTTTGTGAATAAAATTGTTAGGCTATACAGAAATGCATGTAAACTAATAAGAGTTTCTTTAAATGTTATACTTTTTAGTCAAAAACAAATTTGAGCTTTATGTAGTATTTTTTTTTTATAAAAGAATTTTAATATAAAATTTGACAAAATTCATTTGAATAAAAAATTATGTGGAACAAATCTAATTATTGGTCCATGCAAATTTTTTAATTATTTTTGTTTTGATCATATGTATGCCTATTATCAATTTAAGAATGATGGTGAAGTCAGAATTGATTGGATTGACAATTTTGAAATCATAGCTTTTGAAGTTCTAATATTTGGATGTTATTTGTGTTATTTTAAATAACTCAATATTGTTGATTTCATAATATATATGTTGTATTCTAGTGGTGGTATGTACCTGATATCCCAGAGGTTGCAAGTTCAAATCCAAATTCTGTAAACATTTTTTTGTAAAACCACGCCAAGTTGATAACAGTGAAAGTATTTTTTTTTTCAAAGAGTAAATCAAATTTTGATAAAAAGCGTAAATATTATGGCTTCTTATAACATGTATAACTGAACTTCACTCCGAATCGTTTTTTATTGTCAATGGTTTATTGTTGGTTACATGTATAAATTAAAAAACTTTATATATCCCACTTTCAACAGTGACCACACCTGTCCCCAGTATCAGCTCTATTTTAATTTTGTACCTACTATTAAAGCCAATTATAAATAAGGTCTTATGCATTTATGTGTTTAGTGTTATACATTTTCAGGTAGACTTAAAAAATCTTTAAAACCTACCGTTTTTGAAAATTTTGAATCCATTTGCGGTATGAAAAGAGGGTGAGTAATCATTACCAAATTTTATATGAATTAATTTCTTATAATAGGTAATGAAAAATAAAAAATAGGTGGTCCTGAAAATAGAAATCTAAAAGTTCAAAATTAACGACCAGCCTAACCAAGAGTCACCAATTAATATTTTTGAAAAGACCACGTTAGGAAGTTTTTACGGGCCATAAAATACAAAGATCAACTTACTAAGATTTTTTTCAACAAAGGATGTAATATTGTGTCATTGAAAACTTCTAAATTACTTCATAATGACTACCCAAACAAACAAGCAGAGCTTCTACCCAGTCCAGTAAGATGAAAGTATTTCCACTTGGGTTATTCTAGTTGATCGTTTTCTTGTTGGCGAGTTTGATAAAATGTCTATTTAATGAACCTATAAAAGTATAAGACAGGTATAGACCTGTCTTATACTTTTATAATCATCTTGAGTCAATTTGTTTTCTTTTTACATATTGGTTTGGTTTTTAATATTTCAAAATAGTAAATAAAAAATTATTGTCATTGTAAAATTATTCACTATTTTATGTATTAAAAATAAAAAAAATAGTTTTACTTAAGTATATATGTGTAATTTATTTATTTATATTATAATAAACTGTAAACATTTTGCCTGCTCCATGTTCAGTAAACAAATTAATACCAAACTGATAAAAAAATGATGAAACAAGAATCAAAATCAAAATGTTGTTAAAACGATTCATCACTTATACATAGAGCCTCCTCTGTAGTTTATCGTCACAGAATAGATCACTCTAATCAAAATTATATATTAATATAAAATGTAAGTACCTATACAATATCAGTGACATCACCAGAGAGGATGTTGGAAATCAAAGTTTTTTTTATGAATCGTACTAAATAATTTGCAAACTAAATGGGTTGTATAATGATTATGATGTGTGTAATCATTGATTAAATGTACAAATACCATAGTTAGTACATTACATACGTAATCAATGATGTTACTGATTAATTATACTGTCTATCCAATATATCCATCTTGATTTAATTTTTAATTTTACTTTATAGTTTAATTACAAAGTAGGTGGGGTGGAGTGGGACAGGTACAAGTCACAATTTTAAACTCTAAACCGGAGCAACTAGTAACCGGCGATAAGCAATAATATTGCCATTTGATTAATCTTGTAGAAAATAATGAATATTCTGACACCGAAGCAATACGATGTTTACTGTTGTGAACTTGAAGCAATACGAATTGCCAGCGATACGACTGTCCTGTTACCAGTCCATATTTATTGACAGCGTTGAGCAATACAAATTATTCGTATTGGTATTTTTTCCCATTTATTGATAAAAAAATCCTAGGAAAATCGAAAAACAACCTTCCTAAAGTACCTTTCTAGTAAGATTTCCTCTTAGAAAAATTGATTTTATTGTAAATCGGAGCAAAATTGAAGGTAGAAAAGTTGTCTACAGAAAAAAAAATCTTAATAATTTTACTGATATATTTCATACATTTTCCCCGTTTTTTTTTTTTTTTGGTTTTTCACATTTGATGGGAAAACTCTGGAGAAAATCGAAAAATAACCTCTTCAAAGTACGTCCCCACACCGATTTCCTTTCAAAAGAGGTGTTACATTTAAAAACCAGAGCCAGATTTCTTTTAGAAAAGTAGCGCACAGATAAAAAAAAAAATAAACATCATTGTAAAACTATAAGCTTCTTCGCTACACTCGGAATCTAAAACAACATTTGCGGTGTAACGTTTTCGGCGAATTGAACGGCGGCAAAAAGAACAGCGGAAAAATGAAGGTTTACGTTTCTACTGCGTTGTTCTGTATGAAAACTAAGAGCCACTATGTATTATCTGTTAAATATTGTTAATTGCTACGTAGTTGTTAGTCGCCTATTGATCCAGTGTGAGAGTCGACTGGTCAGTTTTAGATTGATATGTCTATTATATTTTAACAGTTTATCGTTAACTAATTTTGGATAATTCAAAAATAAGTCAAGTAAACATAACTTTTGAAGTATTTATTTATATTTTCAAAGCCGCACTCACCTCAGTCCTCTGGGAAAGGGATCAGTTTATCAAAAATACATGTACTTACTTATGTATAATGTTATTAGATTGGGCAACTCACTAAAATTTCGTTTTATGAATCATACAATTGTTTTATTATTTATTCAAATGACAATACTATTTCCTTTTTTAAATATTGAGCACAGATTTTTCGTTAATCCTTTTTTGTACTTAATCTTGATCATGATAAATTAAATATGTATGACAGCAACTTTGTGATACGCCGTATGTGACATGGGCTTTTCGGCTACTGCATGCTATCACGATACGAAGTACAAAAACATTAATCGTGGTTTGCAATAAATGCGTATGATTACTATGATTTTAATTTACGTTTCTGCTTAGGGAAGTATTTTAAAAGTTGCTCAATAAAAAAAAAGTCCTTCAACTCCTTTACTTTTTACTCCTATAAATATTAACTTTAACAATACTTACTATAACAATACTTTTTACTCGTATTACAATATGAATACGCACACAGGCGTTTCATTTAATTTAATATGTGTCTAGATATATTGTATAAATAAACAAATTCAGGTAATTATTCGTGTTAATTAATTAATTAATTATCTATAATTATTTGTCGTGATAATTATATTGTTTATATATCAGTAGAATAGGTTATATCCGTAACATAAACATGTCAATAAAATACAAGTTTTTTACAACATTTTACCAGTTTCAAAATTATCAGGTTTCAAGTATTCTTTTGGTTGGCCATATTTGCATTTGTTGTAACCAAATATACCTTAAACGTTCATTTTTTGGAAACTTATGCAAGTGAACTGATGTTTCTTCAGCTTTTCCTTTTTTTTTTTATTCCCGCTATAACAATTTCTAAATACACATACAGGCATTTTCGTCAATATGTCAAATATGTGTGTCTAAATTGTATTAAAGAATAATTAACAAATCGGAAATTAGAATTCAAAATTAATTTGTCTCTATTATGTAAGATGTAGTTAACCGTCTTGATTATAGGTATTACACGATAATATGAATGTAAATGTTACAACAAATAGGATGAGCCGAAAAGGTACGTCACAAATATAGACGGAGGGAAGCCGTTGAGAAGGAAAATGAGTAAACACGATGCGTACAGAATTTTTGTTGTCTTACCTATTTCATTTATCATGTTCTTTGATCATGATTGAAATACACAATTATAGTATAGCATTTTTGATATCAAAAAAAACATGGTAGCGTAAAGGTGCAGTCTCTTAGTAATTTTCTAATTTATAGTTTAGATTCAGAGTGGAGCGAAGAAGCTTATGGTTTTACAAAGATATATAAATTTTTTTTCTGTGGACGACTTTTATACCAGAGATCTTACTCCGATTTTTAAATGTAGTACCTTTTCTGAAAAGAAATCGGTGTGGAGAGATACTTTAGGGAGATCATTTTGCGATTTTCTTGAATTTTTTCATCAAATGTGAAAAACCAAAAAAAAAAAAAAAAAACGGGAAAATATACGTAATATATTAATAAAATATTACGATTTTTTTTCTGTGGACAACTTTTTACCAGCAACTTTTCTCCAATTTATAATAGTAACAATTTTTTAAAAAGAAAATTTGACTGGGGAAGTATTTACTTTGATTTTCTCATCAAGTTTGAATAATCAGGATAAAACATTGGAAAACCGGAAAAATTGGGAAAATCGGTACGATATGAAACAAATATTATTAAAGAAAATATATAAAGCTTATTTTTATTATTTTAGTGTAAAATGACACATACGTATATTATTGACAAAACATCACTATCAACTGAACTCCGCTCTGAATCGTTTTTTCGTAAGCAATGGTTTCCTGTTGTTTACAGGTATACATTAAATTACCTGTAACAGTGGCTGCACCCATCTCCATTATCCTAGGACGGTTTTTTTTTTTAATAATTTTTAAAAGAATGGCTTTTGGTCACGGGGACGTATATGTTTTTGGTCCAAAAGTTGATACCATTGGAGTTATAGATAATTATTTTTCAAGATTTGTGCATTCCGGATCTGTACTTTTTAGATTTGTATTTTCAAGAATTGTACATTCTAGATATGTTCTTTCAAGGTTTGTACATTCGAGATTTGTACGCGCTTCCAATTGCGATGGGAACGTGTAATGTACAAATCTGGAACGTACAAGTCGTGAAAATACAAATCTGGAAAGTACAAAAACCGTAAAAACGGTTTTTGGAAACAGATTTTGGAATATAAAAGTCTTGAATGTACAAATTTTGAAAAAAAATTGTCTATTATTCCAGTTTTACCAACTTTTGGACTAAAAACTTATACGTTTGTGACCAAAAGCCAATCTTATAAAAATTATAAGAAAACCATCATATTAGCTCTATCTTAATTTACACCAACAAAAGTATTATGTTTTATTGTTACGCTTTGGTCATTAACTTCTCAGAAATTCTTACCAGTGTCAGAGAACGGTCACTATACCTATAATATATAATTCCAAAATGTTTTTATATGAAAATAAGTATTAATTAAGTAATAATTAAGTATTTTATAAAAAAACCTCACCGTAACATGAAACTTGGAAGACTCTGTATATATTTCAGTAACTTAACCTTCTCTAATCGTCAGGTGATATATTTTGAATCCACCCAAAAGATGTGTTTAAAATTCGACAAGGGTCAAAAAAAGGGACACCAGACAATAATTAATTGTCTACATTTTTGTCCGGATAGTGTGTACCGTGACGCCTCACCTGTGACGTATTCGATAACTTCACTAACACACACACACACACACACACACACACACACATACACACACGTTTGGCGACAGCGTCTCGGTTGACGAAATTTGAAAAAATAAAAGACAATTACAATTTACAAATAATATTATTACAACTTAGAAAATATCAATTAATTAAGATTAATTATGCTAAGATGAAGTTATAAATCATATATATATTATTATTATTATTATTTATTATTTTAGTTTATTTATATACTTTTAAGATATGTTCTTGTTTAAATAGGAAAATGATTTTCAAATAAACATCATTATTATTAAATTAAACTACAATGTATTGTTGAAATAGCTCATCGGGACTTGATGAATATTTGCACATTTCTTATAAGCAAATGATTTGATGTATATTATGTATTTACTATATTATAAATTTGTTTTAAAATAGGTGGATATCGAATATATTAAACAAATTCTAAACAATTTTAATTGTATATGTTGTTTCCTAGTTATCTAGTATGCTGGTTACTTGGTTAACCAATTATTACTATGTCGGGTGACCTTTATAATAGTCGTGGTAATTAGGCATATGCAGGTATCTATATCGGATTACAGAAATCGGTTTGGATCGAGACGTTTACGTGTAATAAATTATTTATTGTCGATTAATTATACTGCGGCCTTTGGGTATGGTCACGTATAAACCGCGGTATACCTAACCTTTATGTAGTTAAATATAGTTAATAATATATAGATA